TCAAAGTACTGGCCAGGGCCACCCGGGTGCGGATGTAGGTTTGGGCGGGGTATATGTGACCTGTATGACATGAATGCATTTGCTATGCCACATACCATCCTGTTGGGGCCCTGATGGCCGGGTAACGTGATCTAGGGTACTGTCTAAGGTCAGATGCCTTCAAGTTACTGAAGTTTCTCTTTCTAACGGTTGAGGTTAGGTATGTAACATGCCCTTTCGGTGGGTTTTCTTTCCGAGATGCCTTACTTCCCGTACATCCAATAGCGGTTTTGTCTATGGCAACTATGTTAGCTACGAAGTTTTCTACGCCATCGTTAGACAAAATGTGTTTAAAAATGGCTTTCTTCGGGAGCTTTGTAGGTCTAAAGTACATGGTTTTACCTGCAGGTCTGTGTTTAGTGACGTTACTATCAGCTGAAGGGTTTTTATCCATAGTTATCTTAGGGAGGCTAGTGCTGATAGTCGGGGTTTTATAAGGAATTAAGTAATCCGGGTTACTTAGGTCCAAGTCCACTTGGGATTGCTTAACCACTGGAGTGGTTGGCGCAGTAGGATTACTGGTCATAGCAGCACTATTCGAATGTTTCTCAGGGCATCCAGTACCTTCGTAGTTTGCGTGCGTCGCAGTGGTAGGGCCTTTTATCCTCTGTTTTTAGCGCTGACAAGGAGTCTTGTCCCCTGCAATTGTGATAGTCTTAAAATTACTGTTTAGTCTTGTATGGTCCGGATGGTTAGTGAACCTCTTAGCATCATATGGGGTGGTGAACTTGAAAAGAATGGGGAACCTTGGCTATGCTACTTTCCTGAGGAGGCGTTTACAGTCACAGTGCATAGGCGTCATGCAACATAAGCTCGACAACCTCTTCTTGACGACATCTAAAGATATGGTGCCTGAAACATTATATACCATTGCCTGTTGAGAAGATGCCAGCCTCTTCAATACTTCAGTTGCCAAAAATCTATTGGCGTTTCAGCTTCTTCAATACGGTTTCAGACTAGGTTGTTGTGTTTCCCAAAAAGATGTGCTTAGGGTTGATGGTCCTCAACTACTTTCTTGATTGCATCTATCATGGACTCAATTCTGTCGGTTTTTTCTCTATTTTCCCTGATGTTATTATTCATGACCGACACAATGTCTTCAGCCCTGGTGAGCGGTGTAAAGTATGCAAGTTCGTCGGGATCTGGACTATATGATACGATAGAGCTTCGGTCACAACCTGAAATATTAGTGGGACCGACTCTTTTATTCGTATGGCTAAAGCTATCTATCCTTCAGCGCTTTGCTTTCGACCGTCCCACTCTTATAATAGGTTTTAAGTGAGATGTGCAACTGACGGTAGTGTATGCAGTCTAGAAGATGGGAATACACTGTCTATATATAATAATGTAGCCTTGAATTACCCAAACAGAACATATCGTTATATTACTACATATTTACAGTAATAGTGAGCTAAGCACAAGAAATCGACAAAAGATATAATCAAGGATCACGTGTAAAAGTAGCGTATAGCTTCAACGTTACTGCCTCCTTATTTCACACTATAGTTGATAAACATTTAAATTTCATAATTTAATAATCCCCAGTTTAACATCAAGAAGATATTCAGTTAGGAGACTCTTCTCAACGGATTTATTTCCAAGCTGCACATTCCAGCAAGCGGCTAGCTGCGGTAATCTTAATTGATGCCAAGCTTCCACTTCATTCAAATCTCTCTCCTTGTATCTTCTCGCAGAGGACAGGAAGAAACTACATGGGAATGCACAACCATACGGCTGAGCATAAGCGTTCGACTATACCTTACCAAGCATGCATATTACATGAGAAAAAGCGTGCCAGAATATAAATCACAAATTGACTTTGCAACAGTAACCATTCTCACTTCAACAACTTAATTAACAATGAAAAATGTCCTTGTCTATAATATTCTTTACACCAATTAAATATTTGTGGTAGCACAATTTCGAATATTGTAAAAGAGTGAAAACGTACATGTATTTTGTTGTTATCACAATATATCGTGCTAAAAATTGCGAACTGTACAACAAACTGTTCGGAATAAAATGAGCCATTATTAAACTGGAAGGTGAGAAACGTAGTACATAGAAGTCCAAAGGAATTCTACAAATAGAATATGGAACTACATAGCCCCTTATACCTCGCGTCCTCTTTAGATACTCTGGTCTTCGATACTGCTTCCCCAAATTATAAGACAACTAGCTTCACTTCTCATGTTTCCATGTTTCTCTTCCTCACCCGATGTGCAGATGAAGATGATGATGATGGCGGCCCACACCAACACACTGAGTACCGAGATATACTTCGACCTTCTATTCAACACGTGAGAAATATCATCTTTTGCCATCTATGGATGCAAAATCACCAGGAGCTAGACAATTCATCCCAGACTACGACCGCTCCTAAATTCACGGCCCTACTTGGAATAGCATCTAGAAATGAAATACTCAGCGGAAATTTCTTCCCTCCCCCCTTCCACCCCAGTTTTTATATCTGTTTCCGATACCTTCCAGCAACAGCGCGATTTTGTTGAGTACCCACATTTCTTCAGCTTCATTTATGCTCAGTATTCGATGTGCAAGGTGTTTCTATCGATTGTATGACTCATCACCAGGGTACTTATTTTGCTGAGTGACTAAACCCGTAACAATTTTCACTGTTGCTGTTTAACGATACGGCCTTTATCCAACGTTTGTGACCAGCAACGTTCAAACACTTGCTTACCCCCAGGGGAGTTTGTACGGCACTATGACTGTTTTAGAAGCTTTTTTAGCGCCGCTGCGAAAAACGGTATTCGTATATTGCCTGTAAAAATGGCATGCGTTTGTACTATTCACTGTTCAAATGCGTTAGTATTACTGTTATTAAGTTCAGGCTTCTCAAGAATATCGTAAATACATAGCCACCAACAGTCGCCAAGGTCCATCCCACCAAAATCTTCCACCGTCCAACAGCATGACTACCTGCGAGGTTTTCCGGCAGTTTGTGGACACTAGGCTAACAAGAAGTTGTTGCATGTCTCGACGACTTCGTAGCAGTTTCGAGTTATTCAGCGTGGTGAAGGAATCAAACACGGTTGGTTCTACAGCAGGTATCGGAAAGAAGCCTTCGAGTGACAGCGGAATAATTTCGATTCTTTTAATTATCGGTAAGATATCTGTAGTTTATCTTTCATCCATCAAACCGGCCTCCTAGCCCTGAAAATATTTGCATGACACAGGAAAGAACAAGTAATACAAACGTCGCAACGCCCGGTTACCTTTATGTTCCGTCAGCTACTATTCAACATTTCTCCCCCACGCACAGGTCATACGAGATCCATTGAATCACCCCCCGGGCGAGGGTGCCCCGTCGTCGTCGCCGCGAAGTAGTGTGACGCTGCCGTGAAACGATTAGGCGTATCCTCTCCTGTACCCTGTTAACGCAGCGTGGTTCACATCTACCAATCCTCATCACAGCTGACGCTTCCATTGGTGATGTCCGGTAACCCATTACTTCATGAATTTCAAGATGGTTCGAAAAGTCTATCTGGGCTGCCATATCTCATTTCAGACGAAGAAGGCCAATCATAGATTGAGGTTGGGGGGTTCCATATTTTAACCGTCCAGCCTTTTCCCAAAGCGCCGTGCTTATGGAAATTCAACGTGCTCATCAACCTTGAACCTCTCTCTTCGGTCCCTTGTTCGCTGATTGGAATGTGTACTCTAGATGCTTCACGTCGTGACGGCTGAAATAGAGGGGGAATACTGCAGGGATCAGCTCGCAGGGGAAGTCATGTGTTATGTTCAAGTGAAATGACCACGCGAGCCGAAAGAATTTCCTTTCAGAAGAGAATCTCTTTGTGTCACAAGGGACTCTGGCGAGTTTGAAAAACATGTGGTACTTCCTAAATATCTACGCCTACATGTTCTAAGGCAGTTTCACACTGTTCACACACTTTTGAACATCACGATCAAAGCCTGGCCAGAACTACCTAGTTGACATCAATTTACCACTGGCACGTATATAAGTTTATGATAGGTCGTGCAGAGAAATACAGATATAATTTGAGAGACAGATAAGACAAGGCTTTGTATCTACAGGTTACACACACCCATACACTGACGCTTGATAAGTGACACATTGCGATTTCTGAAGTTTTACCACTCACTCGTCTGGAACTTAAAGTTCAGTAATCTTTCGTAAACTAGCCTTTAGTAGTAATGCGGCAGTGCAAATGCGAAATGAGGTGTCTTTCAAAGGGCTGTTTGCATCAACGAAGTGACGGATGTCCGATCTGAACTGCAAAATGTAACCTGGGTGATGTGATTCATGTGGGGAGCACCTATCCAGGGTGGCATGCAGGGCACCGGTCAAAAGTGTGTACCTGGTAAACACCGTGAACTCATGACATATAAATTAAACTTTCCTTATTTAACACGGCAATAGCTTTCGGAAGAATAAAATGATGAGTGCCCGGGTGTGGTCTACCAACTGGGGCAATCTCAGGGAACCAAGGGTATCCATTTCGAAATTTTGGAACTTCTTAATGTATTGGATCCTTCGTCAGTCATGCATAAAATCTTACGCCTATCTCTAGCAGGATTCCTAGCCTCAGGAAAAACAACAGAGTCCACAACTCTAAGTTTGCTATTCTGCCTTGAGGAATAATAGATGCAGCATTGTCTGGAGGGTGAAATTCATAGAAAAAGTTGTCACCAGTGTTCACGTTGTGCCGAACCAGATGAACCAATCCAATACGGAGTCATAGTTTTCTAGCTTCATATGTATTATAATAGGTGGAAATAATTCCATTCTTTTGGGAATAAATCATATTTTTTCATTCAGACAAGTTTAACTGAGATTTTCGGATAGCTTCGGAGTCAGCATCTTGAGCAGATATCAATAAATATATATTGAGGTTTTAAATTGGCACATTTATTTGTTTGTTCGGGGGTCCATTCAATCCTTTGGATGGCCTTCATGTTTATGGTTCGCTAACATCATGTCCAGCATCTTTCTTTTCGCCCAAGATCACGGGAAAGGCGAAAGCTCTTACTGTCAATTGCAAAGTGATCTACACGAAAAGTTAGTTTGTATTGCATCGACTTACTTGTTCAGATAATTTTGATGATAATCCGCTATTTCTGTTTGTTAATTTCGGCTATTCTTTGCATAATTGTATATAATCTCAGTACATCATATTATATTCGCCACATAATTATTTGTTTCTTATATCAGTTTTATGTTCTGAAAGTCGTTTTAAGACCATTAAGTGCATTAAAGTCAGTTGGTAGTCGTGTATCCACGTGGTCAGTGCTCTACGTTCTCACTTCATCTGGTTAACGACAAGGAATCGAGTTTCGCAAGCGTAATAATAAATATTTTTTAGAGTAGTCAGATCTTCTGGTTCAGTCCTAACTGACGGCCACCGGACTTTGTCCCATGATCATGACTTCGAGCCTTATAGACAGGTAGTTTGGCTTTCGGCACGGATACAAAAGGCTCGATTGGCTTTTGCAAATTTGCGCCACCTATGGCGCCGCCGTGATATTTGTTTGTATATCGAGGGTCGCGTGCACTGCACAGCAGTCCGCTCTGTTCTACCGTATGGCTGTGAAACATGGCCATTGAAAGTGGAGGATACAAAAAGGCTTCAGGTGTTTGATCACCGTTGCCTTCGTAATATAGGACGTATTCCGTGGTGTCACCACATGAGTAATGCAGAAGTTAGGTGTAGAGTTTTGGGGAGAAGAGGTAAGTCAGTCGACGAGGTTGTGAACCTTCATCGACTGAGATGGTTGGGACACGTACTACGTATGCCTAGTCACCGATTGCCTCGTCACACAATGTTGACTGAGGTGGGTCCAGGCTGGAAAAAGGCCCGAGGTGGCCAGACTAAAACATGGCACCAATGTATGAAGTCTCTGACTGTCGGTTTGAGCCATGTAGGACGATGCAGACTAGGTGGTTGGGGTTGGTGGGACAAGAGGAACCAGTGGTGCAGATGTATACACACATTATCCTCATCTTAACAACGCTATACCGAATCCCACCATTTTGTCACTCCTCTTTCTTTTCTTTTCGTACTTTATATTTCTTTTGACTGCATTCGCTTATCTTCATCCTTCACCTCACTACCTTTTTACTTGATGTGCTGATATGAGGTGTGGCAACTCGGACCGTTACGCAGTAATGCCTGGTCCTATGTTGATAATGATGATGATGAGTTTGGCTTTCAAGCAACCGTATAGTATAACATGTAAACAACTGAAAAACATTAATTTTCATGTATAAGGATCAATAACATAGGTTGAATTTCTCAACCTTATCATTTAGTTGGTTTCAGGCTCAGTTTATTAGTTTGAAGTTGAGTACTACAAACCATCGAAGTTTAATTAGATGCACGTAGACTGTATCATGAGTAATTCTAATTTCATCAAAGTATGCCGATGATGATTTAAAGTACCAATCGTTCTGTCGATTCTTCCACTTAGTTTTCATCAGCAAAGAGCGCTTTTAGCGCATTCACTTGTGCAGAGTAGTTAAGCACCTGATTAATAAATCAAAGGATTTTTAGAACTTAGAATTTGCCACTTAAGGCGCTATTTATTTTATTGATTTCCTGTTTAAATAGCGTTTTCTGCTTTCTTGAAGGTTGAAAGAGATTTCAGATCAAATCAAACGAGATGGTGTTTCTATTCCAGATGTTCTACGTCCATTAACACGAGATTCTATAGCACAGTGCGTTATAGGCCCTTCGCACATTGCCTTCCTTTTGGAGGTAAGTTCATATATAAACTGTATTCACCAAGTTAGGATGGTCAAGTATGTCGTGTGGCTTACACCATAAACTCGGATCGTTTGTCCCAGAAGGCTGACCGAAAGTAGGTATTGTGGTTTAAACTTACTTCAAAAGGCGAAAGCAAGGAATGTCATGCTCTGACTCTTCTAGCACAGTTAGAGAAGGAGCTCAGACCCGTACAGGAAGTACTCAACATGGGACTCGTTCATACAGGCCACCTTTAAGTGTCCTTGGCAGAACCTCTCGGGGGATTAGCTTCTTGCGTGAAATGCACCGTCAAGGAATTTACCTTGCGAGACCAGTTACACATCAAATACCAGAAAGCGAAATTCCAGAGGTTTTGATTGAGGAATGTCAAACTGTTTTGCAAGTGAGTGACACTTTATGTTTGATATTGATATTTAGCTTCTGGTTAAGTAGTCAATGTCCACTTATTTTTGCCTCTTAATTCATAATACTAGCGTTAGTTTAGTTCATTGCTATTTGCTTTTTGTGCACCTTAAACCCACAAAATAGTTTTCTTTGCGTGTCTGAGAGATTTGGTTATCACTTCGATAGTTATCTCTTAGTTTTAGACAAGTAGCAGTTTGACAATAAATTTTTGTTAGCGTTAGCTCATTGGCTGAGGCATTCGACTTTCGAAAAGCGTGCCTCAGGTTCAGCTTCACTCTTTCACTTTCGCGTAGGCAACTAAGAAGTACTATACACCCCTGCGACGTGTAACTCATAACCTGGTACATAAAACATGTACTAAGTTGAGTTGTATCGCTATTACTGCTTTTGTCTACATGTTGATTTTTGTGCTTCACTATCAAAGGTTGAAATTTATTTGCATTATTTTAGGGGAAATCACGTCAAGTAATCGTGCGTGAACTACAAAACACGAATTTGGACGTCAATATGGCAGTGAATAACTTACTTTCTCGTGATGATGAGGCAGAACAAGGCAATGGAGGAAATTCTAGCGACAGCAATATTCCTGGAGGTGGTGGTGGAAATTCAGATGATTGGGACGATGAGGCCGTCGAACTACTCTCCTTTTTTGAATATCCTGATAGCCATGGGCTTTTTGAAAATGATGGGTTAACAGCTGATGAAATGACTGGACCTCCAACATCTCCACGTTTTCGTGGTGACTTAACATCCGATTATGGTGAGTGAAACGCACCATCGGATCAGTACGATACGTATGAGTAATCACAGTTACTAATTAACTTTCAAACTCAGCGTTATTAATTTTACGTCAGGTCTCGATAAAGCCTTGGAAACGTACTTATACTTGACTCGTGGTTTAGTTGGGTTAGGTGCTGAGAATTGTCATTTCATTTCTATTTTGATTGTCCTCAACATTTCTCTAAATTTCCAAAGACGTCGCATGTACAAAAGTGGCGTAACGCGTTTGGTCAAGGGTTCACAGCTGATTTGTAATACAGGCTCATGATGCTTAAGAAACGCAAGACAGTAATCGATATGTATGCTTGTAAATCAATGGGTACTAAATAGTACACTTTTGTAAGGTTGTTTAAACTTGCTTTTTTTGGCCTCGCTTATACCTGTTCCTCTAAAATAAGCTTCAGAAACTGCGAAAAAAGATTGGTTGCTTTCTTCGTATCCGTCTACATGAACTGGCAGTGAAGCGCTCATATCAGTGCATACGAATAACTGGATAGGAATTTGACTGGGAAAATGTGGAAATCTTAGGTAGAGAAAATACAGAGAGTATCAGAGAATTTTTAAAAGTTTGGCATTCAGGTCAACCAAACATATTGTGACTGACACAGACTATCAGACAGTGAGAAGCACAAGAAACAAAAAGGTCAAATTTCACGTCAACTAGACAGCCAATCGAAATTTGCAGCAGACGTAAGCGATCACACCCAAGGTCATTAGGAAAAGTTACTAAACTTCTTATGGAGAAAATCCCGTAGCTCACTTCCTTGTAAAGTTTGTGCTGAGAATGTCCACCTGAGCCAGAAATATTCTCCATTATACTCTTTTCTTTTAGGGCAGTTGAACTGAGGTTATAGGTAGTGTAATCACAATTTCGGTTATTTATTACAAGTGAGGTTGGCATTGCGTGAATAATCAGTACTTTCCGATTTCGTTTTTAAATACTGTGCTTATTATTTCTACTACCTGTTTAGAATACAGCTTCCTTAGTGATCGTCGGAAACGTAGGCGTATGGAGTGTCATCTATACAACAGAAGTAATGAGCTTTACTCTGGACGCACCGGTTCTGCCACCAATGATTCAACGTACAATAGATCGATCACAGACTCACTGAGAAATACAACTGCCTCAGATTCGGTAAGACGTATTTCAATCTTTGTTACTGCTTTAAATTCATTAGATTCTGCTTCGTAATTCATATACTTGAGTTCAGTTGAAACAAGCAGTTGAAAACTTGATTCCTCTTACTTAAAGTGTAAAACATACTTCCTATTGTCACTAAAACAAAGATTATACCCTTATTTGTGAGCTTGGGTGGGACACCGGTTGGTAGCAAGATGTTTTGATCTCTTTTGGGGCCCATTGATAATTAGATGGATCAGTAGCACTGGCCATTCCTTTACTATGACATTTTGACGTGTTACTAGTAAGGACAAGTTCTTAAACCATTAGTTCTAACTGTTTGGTGGACCTTAACCTAAGAGCTTACATATTCATAGACTGCTCAGATGGGTAGTTTGAGACCTCATATACTGATGCGTGTTTCAGTCTGGTCACCATTTTGCTACTTAACCCTTCAATTAACATTGCACATCAGGTTACATGATGACGAATGTTGCGTAACTCATGTTCCAGCTACCTCAGTCAATCAGCTTTTATAACTTCATCATCTGACGTGCATTTTTTACTCAGGATTTTCCGCCTAACCGTTACACTGCTTGCTTGGTTGTTCCATAACACGCCGCAATGGTATAAAAGCAACGGCAGTCGAAGACGTGCAGCCTTGCGTTCTTCATTCTTAATCGCCAGGCTTCGTAGTCATACAGCGAGACTCGGCAAACTGCTACCCTTAGTAAACAGCCAGGTGTCTTGCCGGTTCCATAGCTTGTGTTACTCATTGCTTGCTGCACGAATGTGCGTTTGGTTGCTTGCTGCATTTCCGACTATCTGGTGGTAAAATAAACAGGTTTATTTTGTCCTGTTGTAGTGGTGTCACTCAATAACCACCTTACATGTTTACATACTAACCTATGACGCACACCTAATAGGAGAAATATGCTTCATTGCTCTTTGTGTTTAATTTTTAGCAGTGAATTTCAGCTTTAAGGCCTAAAACACTTCTGTCTATATAACCGGTCTCATTGACTCATTAATCCAAGCAGTCGACTTCCAACCAGTGGGTTACCGGTTAAAACTCATCCACCTGCCAAAGTCTGTGCAGTCAGGTAGTATCAGCAGCTCCCACACAATCGATGTGACTGATTGCCTACTTTACGAACGTGCATACGATTGCTTAGTGCATTTCATTTCATTGTCATGAGCTTCCACACACTACATTTCGACTCATCCAAGTACATAAACCTGTGAGGAATCAAGGAGTCGCAATTGTATGAAGTGCTTATAATGACTGACTGTTAAAACCAAAACGGCTTAAGTTGCCACACTTCACAGAAGTACACGAAAAACAGGTGCATAGAAAAGGAGTGATATCAAAATAGATAAAGTAGTGTGAGAGAATGAACAGTTTGAAGATAAAGGTTAGTGTGAATATTCAAGCTTTAAATGTCCATTGTGACCTATTTTCAGCTGTCACCAAGTGTCCTCGACCTCTTCTTCATTTCGTCTCAAGATCTCCAGTCTACATCCCCATACACGACTCAAACCAACAGTAAGGGCTTCATCAACTGGTGCCACATCTTGGTCTGACCTCTTGAACCCTATTCCAACATAATCCAGCTTCCCCTAGCTTGGCTCGTCGAGGTAGGCGGTGGATCGGCATGAGCAGTGCATGTCCGAGCCACTTCAGTTGACTAAGGTTCACAACCTCGTCATTCGACTTGCCTTTCTTGCCCAATGCCTTTCGCCTGACCTCACCATGGCTCACATGGCGATTCCACCAAACACGAGTGATGCTACGAAGATATCTTTCATCTAAATCCTGCAACGCTTCATGTCGTCTACTTTTAACGACCATGTATCACAGCTTTACAACAGGACAAAATGAACTACAGCGCAGTGTACTGGACGTACGATAGATGGCCTGATATCTCGCCGACGCCATAGGTAACATGAGTTGGCAAATACCAAACGGACCTTCTGTATCCGAGCTGAGATTTCTTCAGCAACCAGCCCGCTCGGGCTGATGTAACTTCTAAGTAAGTGAAGTGGTCGACACATTTCGCCACTTCACTCCTTATCACTAAGGAGAGTACTTGCAGGACACCAGCCCTTGAACATCATCCTATATATGACAGGTGCCAGTGAAACGCAGGCCAAACATACTTAGATTTCTGCCCTGTGGGTTCAGGAGACCCTGCATTGTGTCAGCATCTTCACCCATCAGGACAATTTCGTCTACATACCCCAAGTCAACTAGATGACCTCCAGGGAGTAGGTCAATCCCTGTGAAGTCAGACGTACATAGGGTTATGTCCATTAGTACGCCTATGACGAAGTTAAATGAGAATGATGACAGTGGATATCCCTGGCGGATACCACTAGTTGCCGTTAACTCTCTTGAAAACTCTCCGCAAGCCCTTATACGGTTGCATAAATTCGGTTAGAAAGCTTTGATTAGCGTTATATACTTGCTCGGTACAGTTATATACTGCCACAGTACTTCACGGTCGACAGAGCTGAATGCTGTCTTCAGGTCAAGAAATACGGCTTATGTTGGTCACTGGCCGGTAGATATGTCTGTGTTCCAGAATCTGTCAGAGGGGAAAATATGATTGGTGCACCGTCGATCAGGTCTGAAACCTGCCCGGTTTTCTCTAATTGCTGTTCTCCGGCTCAAGTTATGCATTGCATAGTGTGGATCCTAGGATCTTGAATACAATTTTAGTCAAGTCATTTCGTCCATGGTTTTTACAAGAACATTTCCCCCCTTCTTATAAACTGGGATGATCAGTTAACTAGACTAGTCTGACGGAACCACCTCTGATTCCCTCACACTGCCTACTACCTCCGTCACTCTTATTAGGAATTTTCTACCTTCATCCTTGAAAACTTCAGGTGGCAAACTGCCAGGTCCTGCTGCTTTCCATCGTTTCAGCTTCGATGCAGCTTTCTCAACTTCAAGAAGAGTTGGAGGACGGATATCTACGTTCCGTTCAGATGTGGGCTAAATGTTAGGCAACTGAAGAGTTGCTGAGGGCAGTTGAACTGTGCTTCAAAGTGTTCTGCCCAATGTTGTAGCCAGCTGGGCTGGGAGGTTGTCAGCGTCCCATCTTTTTAGTGACGGTTTCCCTCAACATCGTCTTTTTCTTTCAGGTTTCCGTAATAAACTTGAATACCGACTCTTACCCAATGCTGATGCCTTCTCCATCTCTCTCGCTTTCGCCACCCACCACTGCTGGTGGTCGGCGCGAAGACTGTGGGTCAACTTAAGTTTAAGTTGCTTTCGCTCTTCGTCGTGGTCAAAGCTAGCTGGGAGCAGTCTTCTCTCATCAATCAGTTCTGATGGCGTCACAACAATCTAATGACGTTTGGTAACCTAGTCTAGGTTACCATCTATCTTTACGTCTGTTTCTACTTAGTGTCACACCAGTTCTCAGGGTGAGCATTGCTGTCATGTTCGGATAAATTGCTTGGCTACCTCTGCCTTAAGTGCAAACTTGACGTTTCCATCTTCCAATTGGCCGTAAACGGACTTTACTATCGCTTGTTTTCTGCGACCAGTAAGGCGGAGACATACACGAACCCGTACTAGCGCGTGGTCAGAGATCAAACTGGTAACTCCAGAAAGAGCGGCAACCCTTCACCGATCCCCTCCAACGATCGCTTATAGCAATGTGATGTATCTGTGACCATCGTTGGTTTGATATCAGCGAACGCTATGTGAGAAAGTGTCTCTCCTTATACTTAAGTTGGTGCTGGCCAGAAACAATTGATTGTTGGAATAAAATTGCAACAGACGATCACCGTTGTCGGTTCGCTGGCATAGGATTCTACAAATGCCCCCAAGATGCTTTTCCGATTGGCTCAGCTCAGCTTCCCTACTTAAGCGTTAAAGTCACCTGTCATTGTAACTACATCTGAACGTTTACTTTCTGTCATAAAGTTGACAGCTCATAGAATTTATCCTTTGGACCATCTGAACTACAGTCGTTGGTTGCGTAGATGGGGATTACGAATAGGGATCCTTTCTAGTCCTTATAGACCCATTCAGCAGCACATAGACGGTTGTTTACTGAAAACCAGTTCAGTAGCGCACCTTTCACTCTACAACTCAATGCTGTGCATACACCAGCCAGTACATGACAGCTTGCCATTGCGTCTCCGGATAATATGAATTTTAAAGATTCACTACTACAACCAGGTGAGGTCAATTTAATAACCGCACTCGGGTCCTGCATACGTGTCTCTGAGACAAAGCATACATCCACGGCTAGAGATTCCAATTTTGGCGGACGATGCTTGCTGTCCGGTTTGGCATAGAGTTCGGAAGTTGGAAGCTCCTACGTGAAATCGATAACGGGGTCTTAGGAGACTATGAATGGGGTTCCGATGGCTTTGATAGTTGACAATACTATCAGAATGAGAAGTTAGGTAAAGGGTAGTATCAGGATGCGAAGGCAAAGGAGGAGACAGAGTTGAGGATGATACGTAATATGTGATTGGGTCTTATGTACTAATGGAAGCGTGTGGGCGGTTGACACTTCCCGACTGCCCACACCCTTCGAAGGTTATTTCTTAAGGTACCTGAAAGCAGAAGAGATTTGTGGGGTCTCAGAGCCTAGAGAACATCTGCTTGAGGCGGTCAGGTACAGCCCTTTTGGTGCCGCGGCAACTAGCATGTAGTATGCGAAGTGTAGGTAGCCATACGTCCTGTTTTTTTGTGTTATCACTAACCACTGATGACTGATCTAAGCCACTATAATTCATCATCTCGTTGTTTAAGAACATGCTGTGTTAAGATTAACTGGTTTTTGTCTAACCACTGTCCAACAGACCTTTGTAACATGGTATGATCGCGAGGTAACAAGTGTTCCACTAGCATAACTCGGGTCATCGTTATATACAAGCCCCATTTGCTTTCGGGTGGGCTTATAATACTACTCGTTTGCTCATTCTAAAGTAGGTAAGGTTAGATTTGAAATATGATAACTTGTAACTATGTTTACACACTTCGTATTTTCTGGTGTATGAGACATAATGTTGTGCGATGTTTTGAAATTGAACTTCTGTAAACATCGTTCTTTCACTTTTCAGGTAAATGAAGGTGTCAAACACTCTACCACTTCTACTCGTTATTATGTTCAGTTATGTGATGTACTCGAATTCTGGCCAGATCCTGAGAATTCAGAGATGAATTTGCACTTTGTTCATATTGTAGCTATGCATTCGGAATTAGTTGCACTAACTGCTTGGGGAGAATTACACCAATGGCGTTGGGCAGACACTACACCTTTTGTTATGCAAAACACTACACCTGTGAATCCAACAAATGCAAAAGATGTCAGTGATAAGAAATCAGGTCAACATTCTGATGTATGTGCTTTCATTAGTTTTGTATATGCTTTAAACGATTTCCACTTTTTATAAGATCTTTCAAGCTATAGTTGTACCATTGGTTGCTTAGGCGAACAGACCAGTAAATCAGATCACCCTCATTATTTAGATTTTTTGATCAGCGTCATCAAATAAAAACCCAGTCAGTTTTATACCCACTCCATTCAGTGTGGTCATATCAGCCAGACTTCTTAGGGTCTTTCAAAATAAATGACCTGATCATTAACATTATTTGTATGTTCTTTTTATCAAATTAACTTTTGCATTTTGACGTCGCTGTTCATAATGAATAAAGTGGTACATAAAAGGCTTATGAAAAGTAACTATTTTCACTGACTTATAAATTGCCGTAGTCAAAGTAATTGTCAGTTTTATTGTTTTAAAGGTTTTAGATTCGGAAGGACTGACGGAACAAAGTTTTTCTAGAGTGTATCATCCACGAGTTTTAGACCTTGGTTTGATGGAAGAAAAAATAATAAAACTTTCCGGTTGTTCAACACGAGCGACTGTGTTAACGGCTACAGGAAAGTTCGCCACATGGATGGATGAGAGTCTTATCCAGTCGTTACCTGTATCTTCTTATATATTGGGTTCATCATCTGGTTCCTTAGGAATAGAGCATCGAGTTGTTTGGTTTCCTGAACTACGCGATGAAGCGGTTGTCGAAATTCACACTGCTCCTCTAGTGACTATTATCCGTTGTTCATCCGGTTCAGTATATTGGTGGTAAGTTACCAGCAGTTTGGTTTTTAATATCTTTCTCATATTGGTAACCGTTTTGTATTGTGCAGTTTTTAGTTTGGACTCGTTTGCTTGCGGATTCTTATCTGTGACCATTCGACTTTCTATACAATATTAAACTTTAGTTTGTAGCAAACTTAGTTCTGTAATAGCTATGTCAATGTGCTAAAGTTTCAAATGCGAAAATGGCTGTCTTATTGTAGTTATCGAACTCTCCATCTTCATCCCTAATATTTAAAATTTGTCCGAAACCAGTTTGTACAGTTACTAACAGTCCTGTTTCAATTTAAATATTTTGAATCGGTTTTTCTTTAGGGGTGCATATCCTTCGTATATGAGGCAGCGGGCGATTGAAAAGATGCGACAGAATCGTATCTCTACTGTTTCAAAGAGAAATAATGCAGCATCTAGAAATCCTGTGAATAGTCGATATTCTTTATCTCAGCAAAGTAGTAGCAACTGTGCTACTGAAACGTCAAGTTCTACTACAGGAGAGATCAATGTCCAAAACGTAAATGATATGTTAAGTTCAAGTGCTGACGTTGTACCGGGTTCATTCGTTTGTATACGAAGTGCTCCAATATTTCATGCCGGAGCGATTGGATTTACAGTGATTGGTGGAGTACCAAAAGTATGTTAACTGTAATTTTATTTCACATTACCATGTTTGATAATTGTAATACTTTTGAGTCCCGATCGATAGCTGCTATCTTGACGTGGTGGTCGGGCTTGCATATCGCAGTGACCCGACGGGCTATGCTGGTGGAACACTTATCCCCTCGAGGTTCTACCATACCAGAAAGGTCTGTTGGACAGTGGTTGGACGAAAAGCAGTTACCGTTGTGGTGTAAATTACTACGCTATGATAGGGGTCCTAGGGCGAAGTCGTACTGCTGCTAGCTGGACAGAGTGTGACAACAGTAAGGTGTTTCCCTTAGATGACCAGCAGTGCTATGCTGATGCTGCCTTCTCAGTGGAAGGGGGGTTAGAAAAGGTCGGCCCCAAAAATAACGCACTGCACCATGCCCCACTGTCTGCCGAGCCGGGAGTGTTGGTTCATTTGTCGTGTCTTTTCGACCATCCAGCCCCAAAACAACAAAAGTTCAGAATGATCATACACAAAAGGTTGCATGTGACAGGCCTCAAGCAGATGTCCGATGGGCTCTATGGTCACACAAATCTCTTTCAGGTACTTTAAGAAGACATAGCCTTCCACGGTGTGGGTAGCCGGGAAGTATCAATAGTCCTCACAACTTGAACAGCACTCAAGTTTCCTCAGACTGCTATCCACCTCCCCCATCATTACCTTCTAATCTTCCTTCACGTCTCTCAATTAACGATGCTGCATCATCTTCAATTTCTCCTACCTCTGCAGCCTTCGACAACGATCTGAGTCCACAGAACAGCGTCCTTGGTCTCTTTAAACCACGCTCCAAATTACATATTGGAGCCTTCAATGTCCGCACCCTCCATCAAATTGGTCAACAGACTTCGTTAGCAAAGACTAGTAACTTGGGGCATGGATGTGTGCTGTGTTTGTGAGACACGCATACAGGACCCAAGTGCGGTTATTCACCTGACCAATCTGGTGAATTTGCAAAATTCACCCTTCGAGTTTCTGGAGATTCGATAGCTAACCCTCGGGGTCTTGCAGGTGTAGGTATAGTATTAAACATTAGGGCAGAAAGCTCACTACTAGACTGGATCTCTGTTGACAGTCGCCTCTGCGCTGTGCGGCTGAACGGTAAAGTGAAAACTAAAAGGAATAGTGAGACTTGCCGTTGTCTCTTTGAAATCTCTCTCGGATGAAGTGAAGGACGAGTCCTACCAAAAACTGTCTAGCCTCCTCTCTAAAACCAAACGTTCAGACGTGGTGGTTGTTGCAGATGATTTCAATGCACAAGAGGGTAGACTAAGTGAGGCAGAAAGGTACTTGGTTGGCACTTTCGGAGTCCCGACTGAACGAACAGATAACGGTGATCGCCTGCTACAACTGTGCTCAGGTAACTGCTTATTTTTTCTCAGCACAAATTTCAGACATAAAGAAAGACATTGTCTGACGTGGTGACCACCGAGCTCAACTCAGCAATGGGCACAGATAGACCACATTGCTATTAGTCCTCTTTGGAGAGGATTGGTGGAAGACTGCCGCTCCTTCTGGAGTACATGTTTGGATAGCGACCACGCGTTGATCCGAGCACGTATATGTCTGCGTCTCAATGGACGTAGGGAAAATTTGGCAACAAAACCACTACGAGTGCTGCTGGACAACGGAAACACCAAAGCCGTGTTCAGTGAGAAGTTGGCTAGGCAGTTATTGGAACAGAAGACTACCACTCATCCAGGAGAAGCTTGGTACCATCTCCACTCTGCTGCAAAAGCAGCGCTGAAGACCCTAACCAACTCCGAAAGAGTGGCTGAAAAGAGCCAGTGGATATCAGCAGCCTCTTCCGAACTATTGGGTGGACGTGAACGCATCCCTGCAGGCGAGAAAAAGTCTACGCAACGACGGCGAACAGCGGTGGACAGCGAAGGCTAAAGAGATGGAAAAGGCAGCGGCGATTGGAAACAGTAGGTAGTTATTTAGACTTATTAAGGAGACTGGGCGGCAAAGGTCAACAACAGTTAGTGAGGTTACAGCGGAAAAGGATAGGTTTGCGATTCACTCGCAGGGGAGACGACTGGAGCGATGGGCAGAACACTTCGAGGAACAGTTTAACTGGCCTTCAGTCACCATTACGTTGCCCGCTATCCAGTCGGATCCTGAGTGGAACATTGAGATAGGCCCCCCAACACTAACAGAAGTCGAGAAAGCAGTAGGTAACTTTTGAGGTTAACGATGTCGGTGTGAAATGACTCACTACTAATCAGGCATTCAGTGTTAAGTCATTGGAACTACCACTCTTCCATAAGACTCACTTTATACCAGTCTTTTATAATCTATAAGAGATATTACACATAACAAATTAACGCGTCATGTATTCGGGTACGGTGCAATGCTAATGAATCTTTGATCAGGCAGAAATTTTTGTATAGTTATCTTTGTTTCCCATTTGATTTCTGTCTGTGATGGAAATGTCTGATTATTTTTTGTTATTTTTTGGTGATATAAAACTTAAGACTTATGCGTTGGCTCAAATTTATTTATAACCCTGAGCAACTGTGAAGACAAATTTTAGTAGAGCAGTGAATAGTACAAGTTCTTCATTTCCATACATTTTCATAAAGCTGGATATAGGTTGTTTAATTGTTCTTTGATCTCTATTTAGGTTGGGACATTGCTTGAAGATGCCTGGAAAACGACAGATGTTTGTCGATTCCAAGTTAATGTTATAAACTCCAATTCACTCCTATCAGGAATTCATGAAGGTCCTTTCCATCCTCCTGCTTTGTCGCCCGATTCCTCACAACACTTGCTAACCTGTCCATATGCATTGGGACTATCTATTCACACTCAACCTACTTCAGGGCAGTGCCTCGGGTCGTTGGGTTATAATGCCTCCTCGATTCAGTTATCTAGTGATCAAGTGGCTGTTTCTTCAAGTGGAAGTAATTCAACGTTGACATTTCAAGAAATGCCACCTCCACCGTCTCCAGCTTCCTCCACGTGTAGCGATCAGTCAGGTCCAGTAAGAGTTAGTCCTGGGACATTTAGTGAGTTCGTCTCAGAAGTATTAAAGTTTGTAGTCTTTAAATAACTCACTTGCAAATTTCCATATTTTTGAGTGAATAGAACAATGAATAAGGAAGATATATGGATTCCAGAACGTTTGCTCTTTCAAAGTACATTCCTAATGGTTCTTCACAATAGTTTGTCGTGTCTACTTTATGCTCACAGATTGAAGCTCTCATTTATTGTTTCAGGCGCTCATCTACAATATCTCATCAAATCTAACATTGATCTAGGAAATTGGAAGGTGTTGATCCAGTTTGTGACTGATCCTATCTGTATTCTGTGTATCTCTAATTTCCCTATTTTTCATCACAATATTACAGGTGAATGTAGTATTTGCCCGATTGTGTCTGAAGTATGGTTTGAGTTTCTGTTATTAACTCAGCTAGCGATAGGTGAACCAATTTATTCAATCTAAAATTGCTTTTTATTCCTAAATAATGAAGATATACGTCAGCAAGTAAACCTTATCTTACCTCTTAGCATCCAAAATTTACATTCATTTGGTAATAGAAAGCTTCCTGGTTTCACAGGGAATCATCTACTCCCTGAAGGGCATCCGGTTGGCTTCAAAGGTGCAGATGATAGTCCTGGTAGATGGTGCTGACGAAATGCAGGGTCTTCTGAAGGTGTTGTGCGAAAATCCGAGTATGTTTGGCACATATTTCGCACTCGTGTAGTGTGTAAGATGACGCTTCAAACAGAAGTGGTCTTCAGCTGCTCCCCAGTTTAGGGATATGGAGTGAAGTGGTGGGATGCATTGACCACTTCACCTACTTAGAGAGTCCGTGGTGAAATCTCAGCTGGGATGCAGAAGGGCTGTTTGACATTTGCCAACCTGTGTTACCTCTGGCGCTTACTGGGGAGCTATGCGACTATGTATTACAGTCTGTAGGATGAGTATACTGTGCTGGAGTTTGCTGTATCTCGTTATGCGTCTGTGAGGTATGGTCGTTTAGGGTAGGAGATATGAAGAGTTTACAGATTACTGAACATAGGTAGGTGTTTTGGTAACCCTGTTTGTTTATGATGTGATCATCATCGTGTAGATCAGGTAGGTGTAGTAGGGTAGGGTACTGGGAGGTGGGTGTGGGTAGGTGGGCAGGGAAGTGTGTGGATAAGGTTGTATATCTTCAGTGACTGAGTTGGTTTTGAGATGTGTTGTGCATGTGGGGCCAGTATTCACCTAACGTGTGGTGTTGGTAGAAGTTGGATGAGGTTGTAATGATTCTCAGGGTGATCAGATCAAGACATGATGTCAGTGCGTGAATTCTGTGACTTTTGATATGAGTCTTGCAGGGAAGTGGAGATGATGTAAATGAGTGGTTGTAAGCCGTTTGTGAGGTGGGTATAAATCGGTTTGAATGTTGCAGTTGTGTCCACTCTCTGACATTAACTGTTTAGGTATTTTTATTAGTCGTCATAGCGTGGCATGGAGTTTTGTCTACTTTGATATAATTCATTGTCTATTGATTTTTGTTTGGATGGTACTGTGAAGTGTGTTGACTTAAACCGATGCAGTTCTTTGCAGGTTTCCTGGTTGGTTTTATCTATCTATCCCCAACATATTATGTGATTTATTTGTGACGCAATCGGGAGATGGATGACAGCAGCATAAAATGTAACTGAGCGATTTCGAAGTAACACTTGGTTTTCATGAAACTGATATCACACACCTTAACTGTAGTAAGTGTACGGAAACCAACGGAGAAGAATTTGGAATAAGTTAATTGGCAATGCAGCTGTGATTGTCGACTTATAGAAATGGTTATGTGCATATATGTTGTTTTCATTGTCGTCTTAAGGTCAAACCATTTAAAATATCAGTTTCGTTGTTCGAAAATAAAAATCCCTGCACGAGTTTTGTTTGGAATGAAAACAGTCAAACTAGTGGTCTTTCTAGGTAAAATTTCCAAGAAATGATATCGGTAACTATGAACATTTTTGTAGCAACATGGATTGAGCATTTTCAGGGTATTTTGTTCTTATTGTTTCTTGGAGAGAAGTCCCAAAGTTGTTATCTTTTTACATTTCCAGAGAGAAAGAAGGTACCTAGCGTGTCAGGAGATCGTGGTGAGCGGGTCATTGCAGATTGGGATGTTGGTAACCAGAATAACAGTCGTAACGTGCGTGGCCGTTCCGCTGATCGTGATTCTTCCATCGGCGTTTCAGTCAGTGTTGCTACCAAACGTAGTTCTGCTGATATGAGTAATGATACTGATGTTAATATCAAATTAGATGGAGGATGTAGTCGAGGATCTAGCAACCTTACTGTTACCGAGGAAGATTGGTGTTTAAGCGATGTTGTTTTTGTCGAAGATGGACGAACTCAACCTGTGGGTATTGTTCTCAAGGTGGATGGAAACATTGCGGCTGTCAAGTTTTTGAAGGTATGGTGTTACACTTTTTTATCATACCGCAGAAATAATCGTTATATTAACGACTAATAGTATGATTTTTATTCTAGGAGCAGGAACGGTCTTGTGTTGCTGCTAATTGTCCGTATTCGCCAGTATGTGCTCTCATAAACACCATTTTAGGTGTTGGTTCTGTATCAACATCAACGACACCTAACTCCTTTTCTCAATTCTCTCAAGCATCTGCAGATCCTATGAGTTGGCTTAATGTAAGTTTAACTGCTTATATCCATAGTTTTTCGGAGTTTTTTAAATAGTGACTAAATCGTGCCCAAATGACCACAGTGATATTCGGGAGTAATTATTCGTTCGAAATAGGCGAGGAAAAATGACATATCTGCATGGGATTGAGTCATTTGATTTTGATCACAGCCGTCTAAAAAAATGCAGGGCATACAATAAATTTATGCGGTCTCTACAATATGTTTCGCATTCTTATATCATTTCGAATTTTCCAGCCATACTCTCATCTTATAAGCTTACATTCCAGTGTTTTCAGCCATTTATCTACATTTATCAAACTGTTAATTGAAATATCTATTGTCTTCAGTTTCTGAAAGACTTCAAATAGCCCAGTATGCACAAGTTTAGTTTAGTTATTAGAATTCAAGAGTCACGATATGTAACTAGTATACAAATAAACATTGCCAAATGTATCAGTTCTTCTCGTGAGTTTCTTCGGAAAGGCATTATTTTAATCATGTTGGTCATAGTGTTTGCGCACTATCATCTACGTTTCCTTATTTAACCTTTAGGACTGTCGACTACTACGCAAAGAGGACTTGACCATTGTTCGAAATGCTGGGTCGGTGCGTGTCCCCGATGTGATTCAACGTACTCCTAGACGTGTGTTTGCTCATCCGAGTAGTGGTTGCGGTCGTAATCCAGGTGATTCAAAAACGTTGAAAACATTATCCTCACATGCTCCGAAAATCTTAGCGATTGCAGCTGAGAACAGCCGTATTCATGTCATCGTGGAACAAGCAGAAGGTGGATCTCATCAGTCTGCTTTGTATCAGGTTTACAATTTGTCAGGAAAGCTAATCATCAATCAAAAAATGCCAGTAAGTGCTTCTGCACTTAAACCTGTTTCAGCAATAAACGAACGTTCAGCCACACTAATCTGTCCGTCTGAAGTGAGTTTTCTTCCTCCGTTGGTGTAATTTATATTTGCTACTTATTACGTAATCATCTCAGCTTATTTAACAGTTAGCTGATTGTTCAACACACAAAGTATCGTCTTATCGGTAAAAGTTAATGTTATTTGGATGATAGATCTGTACATGGGGATATACTCTAAGTCTTTTCGTTCTTTGTGCAGAGTTTTTTTGGAGGTGTAACACATGCGGATAGTCACTGCTTTAAGACAGCTAAGCAGCTGGATGGTTTGGTTGTATAGTCTATAATGTTTGGACTGTGATCGCATTTGCTCACTACTTAAACCTTCTAGGTAGCTTACTGAAGGACTTTGGTAACACTGACTTTTCTCTTCTGGTTAATTTTTGAGCTTTTCACGTTAATTACCGTAATTTATTCACAGTTGGCACGTATTTTAAGCGGCAACGTATTTTTACATCACTTGTGTATGATTTAAGTTGAGTTTCTGCTGAAGACCATCCTGGTGGTAACACACCAAAATGACTAACTGATAGAACATACTAATCAGTAACATGAGTAACTATTCATTACTAACCCCAATAAGCGGTATTTGTCGTATAGTTTGCACCCACTCAATTCATCTAAAATCATTTAATAAAATGTGCACTGGTTTATTGACGATGAAAGTTACATTCAAAGTGAGAGATGATGCCGCACAGGCTCTGCCAAATGTGATTCTATAACTACTCTGTTTTGACACTAACAGCAACGAGTTAGCAGTCGACCAATAGTTTTTTCAAGTTGGTATTCATCGTAGACTGATATCAGTTAGAGGAACAGTAGAAACCTGGGAGCACTGGACAACCATTTCGTCCTAGTATGGACTCTTCAGCAGTGGCGCCCACGACCCCGCCAGAGATCGAACCCTCGACCTTCAGGTTCCGTAGTCAGCACGTTATCGTTGAGCGATTGGGTCGGAATCCAGTGGTCGATATTTCCAACTTCTATCAGTTCATGACATAGCGCGATCGCCGTCCAATGTCATCGTTGAGTATTTGTCCTCACGGCCACCAGGTTTGCCCCACTAGTCACGACTTCTTATTGGAACTTTGGGAATCACCTCTCGAGGCTAGTCGCCAATGAGCAAGTTATATCATTTCATCAATATAATTGTAAAACTTGGACAATTTGAGAGAATGTAATTCCATTTTGGATTTGTTTATTTGATTTATAATACACAGTGATACAGTATTATTTACTTGATAACGTTTCGAGCATAAATTATTGCTCATAATCATATCAATGTAATCACACAAATTTTGACGTTTGATTTTTATAGTCCTGTCACCTAATATTATTTGTTTTTATTGGTGGTAAGTTTTCCGTATCTCTAGTATAGGTACTGCGTCACTTCTGTTACACGTGTTGGGTGCAGATTCGATGAAAAAGATTCAGTAATCAATCCCTCTCTCCACCTAATTATATTGGACTTAAGTGCAGTTTCACAATGAAGCTTTTAATGTACGAACCCTATTCCAAATCGAACGGTAGGCGTCTGTTGTCATAACTCAGAAATCTCGAATTATGGATGTACTCTCTTCTCTAAGGTACCTGTACAGGACCAGAATGTGGTTATTAGCTTGATCTCACCTAGCCATTGCAGTGAATCTGTGGAACTCACCAATCGAATGTCAAGAGATTCATTATTAGTTTTTATGGACTCCATTATTTAGTATAGCAGTGAGTTGTGGAGCAGAAAGTGCACTACACAACTGGACACCAGACAGCAGCCATTTGCGTGCTCTTCGACTTAACGGATCTGTAGGAACTAGCAGTAGTAGGTTTCGGATAACCTCTCAGGACAGATGGTTAAATCGTTGGACGGAACACTTCAAAGCTTAGTTCAACTGACTAACAGCAACGCTTCAGTTGCTTAGCATCCAGCCTGAATCTAAATGAGGCTTGGATTTTCAACTCCCTTAAGAGTTGAGAAAGCTGTTTCTAACTTAAAACGGTGCACAGCAACAGGACCTGACAGTTTACCACCAGAAGTTTTGAGGTGGGAAATCGCAGATTAGAGTAACGGAGGTACTAGAGTGGTCTTCTACATCTTTCATCCCAGTCTATATGACGAAAGAGAAGTCTTGTGCTAGCCATAGGCTAATCTATTTAACTAAGGTCGTTTCCAATACCCTTTGGTCATAGTTATCAGACAACTAACAGAAGCTTTCGAAAAGCAAACTCGAAGAAACCAGGTGGGTTTCATATTTAGATGAGGAAGCATGAATCATTAACTGCACCCTCCTTCATGTTATGACACACGGGTATATGTATCGGCAACCGACATTCCCCATACTTTTTGACCTGAAGACGGCATTTGACGCCATCGACCGTGCGGTGTTGCGGTAGTGTCTGACTGTGTATCCACTGCTGAGCAAGTATATAACGTTAATCGGAAGTCTACTGGAAATCAGACAGCCGAGCAAGGGTTTATGTAGAGTTGCGTCTGAACTCACGACAACTCGTAGTGTGCCCACTGTCATCATTCCTGCCCAATTTCGCTATAGTCGCAACAATGAACACAGGACTAGGTAACTCTGACTTTACGGGCGTTGATCTATTCCCCTGAGGGCATCCGGTTAGCTTCAAATGTGCAGATGATAGTCCTGGTAAATGGTGCTGACGAAATGCAGGGTCTTCTGAAGGTGTTGTGCGAAAATCCGAGCATGTTTGGCACGTATTTCGCACTCGTGTAGTGTGTAAGATGACGCTTCAAACAGAAGTGGTCTTCAGCTGCTCCCCAGTTTAGGGATATGGAGTGAAGTGGTGGGATGCATTGACCACTTCACCTACTTAGAGAGTCCGTGGTGAAATCTCAGCTGAGATACAGAAGGGCTGTTTGACATTTGCCAACCTGTGTTACCTCTGGCGCTTACTGGGGAGCTATACGACTATGTATTACAGTATGTAGGATGAGTATACTGTGCTGGAGTTTGCTGTATCTCGTTATGCGTCTGTGAGGTATGGTCGTTTAGGGTAGGAGATATGAAGAGTTTACAGATTACTGAACATAGGTAGGTGTTTTGGTAACCCTGTTTGTTTATGATGTGATCATCATCGTGTAGATCAGGTAGGTGTAGGGTAGGGTACTGGGAGGTGGGTGTGGGTAGGTGGGTAGGGAAGTGTGTGGATAAGGTTGTATATCTTCAGTGACTGAGTTGGTTTTGAGATGTGTTGTGCATGTGGGGCCAGTATTCACCTAACGTGTGGTGTTGGTAGAAGTTGGATGAGGTTGTAATGATTCTCAGGGTGATCAGATCAAGACATGATGTCAGTGCGTGAATTCTGTGACTTTTGATATGAGTCTTGCAGGGAAGTGGAGATGATGTAAATGAGTGGTTGTAAGCCGTTTGTGAGGTGGGTATAAATCGGTTTGAATGTTGCAGTTGTGTCCACTCTCTGACATTAACTGTTTAGGTATTTTTATTAGTCGTCATAGCGTGGCATGGAGTTTTGTCTACTTTGATATAATTCATTGTCTATGTGATTTTTGTTTGGATGGTACTGTGAAGTGTGTTGACTTAAACCGATGCAGTTTTGTCAGAGCGTCGAGGTTGATTTTTACCTTGTATCTGTCAACACAGGTAAAACATTATCTGATGTAGGTGTTTTTTTGCTGACACCTCGTTGTAGTGATTGTGATTTCTTTTTGGAGTCATGTTGTCGCTTAGTTTTCAAATGTTGCGTGTGTTAGTTTCGCACTATTTTCAGAATGCGGTCTCCCTGCGATGAGTACTTCGTGACATTATTGTAACAGTTTCCTTTATATGAAGATGCATCCGCAGAAAATATATGAACATTTGTGAGACCAGCTGCCTGTTACCATTAGTTTCAGAACTGTATATTATGGTAATCTGTTATTACTAATTCAACTTATTTTTCTCATAGCATCCATTGCTGTTACGAGACCCTGGTGGTCTTGTTTTGCCATTCATCCCACCTTCAAGAACGGCCAACCATGAAACGTGGACCAGTCCACTTCCGGTTGATCTTCCTCCTGTTCAGTGTGCATCTTTCTCTTGGATTAGAAATAATCTGCTTCCTTCAGTCTCAGGAAATACAAATGGGAGGCAGTCAACAAAATCGCAAAATGAGCAGCAACCGCGTTGTCTTTTCGGCCTAGTCGTTGTTCAAGATCAAACTTTGATGCAACATATCTTGCGTGCTAACGATGTACAGGTTGAACGATTGGTATGTTTTGTTATCAGCCACTTTCTTTTCTGCTTTTATTTAATGTATGAAGTGCTTTCTGACTGTTCCTCTTGCTGTTTATGCTGATTGGCTTCAAGAACAAGTAGCAGCCTATTGAGTTATTGTAAATTTTTATCTTTTCCAGTTGGTGGGTGATAAGTAACCTCGGTAAATAAATTCATCGATTTCTTCTGTTTCTCAGTAATACAATTGTCACACCACGTGAAGTGATCCTCAGTTTTGAGTAGTAGAACATACTTTATCGGTAAATACGATTTGTTTTTGGTGTGTAGTCAGATAAAGTAGCCTTGCTACATGACATTTGTGACAGACCTATCGGAGGTAAATCGCAAAAAGAATAGCTATGGTAATGTCCCTAACTCCAGGACAGGGTGATGCAGATGCGACTCTTACAGGGGACATCAGTTCCCTCGAACTTGCGGACACACCTTGCTTGCCGAGTGCCAACAAGCACGAAATCTAGATCCAAAGCTTCCTGTTGGTCATCTCTATCCGCGTAAGACGTGGGAATTTATTCACTAAGTACTTTACGAATTGAAGAAAAAAGTTTGCGATTATTTAACTAGGTTTTTATGAATATTCAAAAATTATTTTACACTTTGTTATATGATCTACTCTCAATTTTTCTGTTTAATCGAAAGTAATGAGTAGGTCATCAGTTAGTTAACAAATGTCTACTTGGACATTCATCGACGGCTACCGAACGCCTTAGGAACACTCAGAGAACTTCAAAAAGTCTAGACTGATTACTATGAAGAACAAATGCTACTCTGGTTAGTTCTTATCCCTTGCTCGATTAATAGCTCTTAACTCATGTTACGCATCTTAAGTCATCATCTTTGTCGATGCTCTGTGTTAATCATAGTATGAGTAAACTGAACTAAAGTGAAGCGTATCCAGGCCATGACGAGACATCTCTGACTGTTGATCTGAGCAATGTGGGGGGAAGTGTGAGCTGTTTTGCTTTAACTCTACATTGCTGGTATGACTGAAAATTAATGGCATTGACGTAGTCATATTTCACTCCTTACAATCTTCAAGACAAACATTTTCGCTAATCATTAGATTACTCTGTTCCTTCGCATACCGCTGTATGTCAGTTTGAATATCATTATTTCTTGTTAGTTTTTCTGTGTGTTGTCGAAAACTGCAGCAACTTGAACTGACTCACTTGCTTCGGGTTCCTGGTTCACCTGTTTATCTGTGAAATACGTAAACAGTTAATTAGCAGCCAACTTCTCATCTACACCCTTGCTCTTGCTCTGTAACATTTGTGATATGATTGCAAAATACTGCTTGAAAAGTCCGGCTGTTTGGTGAAAGGAAAATATTGTAGACTGTAAATTTTAGCAGAAACTGCTCATGATCAGAGGTTGTGACATCTGACTGATGACTATTGATCTGGAATTTGAACCTATTTTGTCTTCCTCAGCTTCGATACTCCAGTAGTGTCGTTGGTGATCAGGAGTTGTTTATAGTTTTATAAACATAGGGACGAAATTTTCGAGTCTCAGTTATTTCCCTCAAATAGGATGAATTGTTTTGTTAGATTAAGCTTATGTTGGCAAAACATACAGTAGAAATATGTGGCAGTGAAAACTGCTTATTACTCCCGTAAAAAGGTATGTTTTAGTTTTAAAATGTAAGGATAGTTACTTCGTCACTCACTTTGGTATGTTAGTGTGTTTACGCTTATTGCTTATCCTCCACGTCATATAACTGTTTTTTGTATCTTTCACTTAAACAGTTAGCCAGTGATATGCTTCCAGGTGAAAGTCTTAAACTAGCTTGTGAACTTGCAGATGGACGGCGTAATTTACTTCATATGGCTGTGTCAATGTGTGCACCACAATCTAACCGTGAGGCAAGTGTTGATTGGTTGTCAAAACTTGAACCTATTCTTACAAGTCCCACTTTACGTTCTTCATTTGAAGATAAGAACAAAGTGGTCAAGGAACCTAATGAATCTTCTGATGCTTCTGTAACAAAAGTTGTTAATTCGAATAGTTCCAGCCGTCAACCCTCATTTTGGTGAGCGATACTCGACAGTATACTCTAATAATTGTTACTAAGTATTTGCGTATTTTTACACAGTACTTTCAGATGACAAAGTAGAATCTTTTTTATCTAACATATTGTGCAGACGTAAACTATAACTTATAATTTCGTTTCTGTTTGCTAGTAAGAAAGTAAACTTGAGGTGACCTGCTGAGGTGCACTGACAGCTGTCGAAACATGTTTTACTAAACCGCGAGACTTTAGCATTTTCTCTCGACAGGAAGTCACATCAACATGTATAAGCTGATTGGTTATCAAGATGGTAGGTGAGATGCCTATGTGTATACATAGGCGTACAATAGAACAGACACTGTTATTGGTTTACCTTACATGGTATTTAAAGTCGGTGTCTGTAACGATCAGCACTTTTCTGCCTAACCAAATTTGTAATTCCTTAAGTCTAAAATCTAGTTGTCATCAGTGTTTACCCCTATTTAGTTGCATCAAACCCAATATATATTTCTTTGAAAATCTTTTAAATAGTTTTCTGTATATGTGTATCTATTTAGTTAAAAATCCTGAGTTATCTCACTTGTTCCATAACTATTGATGTGAAATGGTTAGAATCATCATATTAAACTAGATCTTTTATTTGATGAATTAATTTTCAAACTGGACTTTTATATGGAGCTCATCCACTTTTGAAGTCATGTCACAGAATATACGTCCAAGTGATAAGGTTTTCATTTGAATTGGGAATAGTGATACATTTAAATAGTTGAACACAAATTTTTCAGGACATAAAGGAAAGGCTGTTTTTTTAGTTATAGACTTGAAGCTTTAACATAGCTTCAGGGTAACACCATCAGGTCGCTTCTTAATATAAGAGTAAAACTTGGGCACTGTAGTCGATTGTAATTCCATTTTAGTCTGTCTATTAGAAATATCACACAGTGAAACAGTATCATTTACTGGATAACCTTTCGGACACAATTTATTGTCCATATTCATATCACGTAACTCCACAACTTCCAGATAGACTCTATATTCCTAATTTTCTCTCCTTCTCTGTGATGACAAGGGTAGTAGAATTCTCCATATATCTGGGACAGGTGCAGAATCATTTTATTAGTGCATGTGTTTGGTGTTAATTCGGTTATCAATCTCTCCCTCCACCCAACTAAGTTAGTTTTCAACACTGTCGCCGTGTCCCACCCTACTGTGTGATTGTGCGTCATCGCATGTAGAGCTATAGCCGAGCCTTTCTCTAGATTTCTTATCTTATTGGGATCTACTATTCTTGATTTAGCTAATTTTTTGTGCTCTGTTATTCTAATCGACCCTGGTTGACTGCTTTGACCGATGTACGTGACCTCACAATCATTGAAAGGGATCTGGTAAACTAGATTATTTTGGTTAATTGCATCGATAGTATCTTTAACCTACAACGCTTGTTTCTAAGCGAGTTTTTGGTTTAAATGCCACTTTTATGCCAGCCAAGCGTATTGAGACTTCTTCGTAATGTTTCTGAGGTGCCTTCCTTGTATGGTAACACAGCAGAGACTTTGAATTCTCTCTCTCTCACCATTATTACCATTAGTAGTGAAATTGTTATTAATAACACCCGTATTACTACTACTACTACTGCTAATATTTTTCGGTTTCTTATGAAGTTATTTATAAATTTTGGTGGGTAATTATTGAGACGTAGGGTATTCTTGATGTTTCTAATTTCTTGTATCAGATTTCCCGCTCTTAATAACCGTATCAACATATTCTTCAAACTCTGCTCTCATCGGCGGACATTTGCAGAAGAATGTGGGATTTTCGTGACAGATTATGTTCAAATTCCGGTAATCGGGAACGGACAGCGTCAATATGATTAGGAGTGTGTCGCTTCAAAGTACGCGAGTTAGAAATATAGTTCCGTCTAAGATTCTTCCTAGAACTGTCCCATATTTATCGTCCTACTGTGACTCAATAACGACATTTGATTCTATGTGCTAGACTATCAGTATCCAAACCTAGGTAGTTAAACCAGAAGTCGAATTCATAAGAAATGCTATCATGACTCTTGATGCTTGTTCACAAATAGCAGAAGGTCTCTAAAGTGCTGAATATACCAGGTTGCAAAATTGTTTCTCAAGAAATTTTCAATGTAGAGTAGTATGACTGTTGAGCCTACACTACTTATTTGTTCCTTTTGGTATTAGGACACAGAAAGCAGACAGATGGACAGATGGGCAGATGGGCGTACAATGGGACAAGATCAACATGGGATCAGGCAATACTACCCAAGGGTCAAAGTTGCCACATCCCATATCAGCACATCAAGCGAAAATACTCATTTCACTATGATGATTAAGCAGAGGATAGTGTATGGATGCATCTTAGCCATGCCATCTAGAAATCCCAACCACTGATTTCGCCTTTCGTTTATGTTTTAGCACCAGTGATATCCTATTGTCTATTAAGAGCCAAATGGACTTCACTGCAGTTCTCTGTATTCTACTATTTGGACGTGAACCTGTAGAATGTAAGAAAGCTCCATATATTTGACCACCATTGCCTTCGTAGTATAAACCGTGTCGTGGTGCCGCCGCGTTAGTATTGTATAAGTCAAGTGCAAAGTTTTAAGGAGGAGGGAAAAGTCAGTCAATGAGGTGAACTCAGGTGTCTGGGACGTGTAGTATGCTTGCCTCGTCATGCAACGTCGACTGAAGTGGGTTCAGGCTCCAAAACAAGGTTGAGGGCCGCCAGACTAAAACATGACATCACTACATGAAACGCTTAAACTATTAGTCTGAACCATGTAAGGAAATGTAGACACTTCAGTCAAGTTCTGTGTGACAACCGAAATCGGTGGTTGGAGGCTTTAGGTGATACGGCCCAGAATCGGTCATAATCTAGCTACACGTTTTCTTCATCTTAATTGTCGTACTGAATCTCACTGTTGTCCCGTTCGTTGTACTGTTTTCACTATTTTCTGCCACTTTTGATTACTTCGTTCCATGTTCCTTTGTATTTCTCTGTTATTGTCTCTTGATGTGCTGATATGAAGTGTGATAACCTAGGCCGTCAGGCAGTAAAACCAGGTTTCACGTTAATGCTGACTGATTGTATGTCAAAACATATGTAAAAATATCCCATTTGTCACCATGCAAGTGTTGAGTGTATATTTTCAGCACTGCGCAAGAAGTTATGTTTTGCGTAAATGCCTGTTTGTTGCAACATAATCTCCACCTCTGTTTCCAGGCATAGCGGTCCATGAAAATATATCGTTTTTCTCTTATTACTTGGTTGTCTGTGCTGCTTTTGTAATTAAGGCTTTATTTTGTTGGCAGACAAAATTTCCATCGGTTTTTGTCGATGAAATGTCTAAGCTGTGTTTTGATGCGCTGTAAGTTACCGAATTGTCTATGAGTTGTCAGTATTGTTTATTGATCTTCCTTCCTTTATTGCTTTGAAGCATGGTGAGTTTACAGATAAGCTAAACTATATTTTGGTCGAAATCTGTCATCTGAGTCGATGATATCCAATGTTTTCTACCAGAGATGCTGGCTGCTACGGTTCTTGTTTAATCTTGTAATTAAGGGACGCAATACTAGGTATCTCTGTCCTCACAAAGATTGACCTGCTCCCTGGAGAACACCTGACGTACTTGAAGTTCTGCCAACTGAAGACGCTGACGAAATGCAGGGTCTTGTGAAGGTGTTGTGCGAAAATCCGAGTATGTTTGGCACATATTTCGCACTCGTGTAGTGTGTAAGATGACGCTTCAAACAGAAGTGGTCTTCAGCTGCTCCCCAGTTTAGGGATATGGAGTGAAGTGGTGGGATGCATTGACCACTTCACCTACTTAGAGAGTCCGTGGTGAAATCTCAGCTGGGATGCAGAAGGGCTGTTTGACATTTGCCAACCTGTGTTACCTCTGGCGCTTACTGGGGAGCTATACGACTATGTATTACAGTCTGTAGGATGAGTATACTGTGCTGGAGTTTGCTGTATCTCGTTATGCGTCTGTGAGGTATGGTCGTTTAGGGTAGGAGATATGAAGAGTTTACAGATTACTGAACATAGGTAGGTGTTTTGGTAACCCTGTTTGTTTATGATGTGATCATCATCGTGTAGATCAGGTAGGTGTAGGGTAGGGTAGGGTACTGGGAGGTGGGTGTGGGTAGGTGGGCAGGGAAGTGTGTGGATAAGGTTGTATATCTTCAGTGACTGAGTTGGTTTTGAGATGTGTTGTGCATGTGGGGCCAGTATTCACCTAACGTGTGGTGTTGGTAGAAGTTGGATGAGGTTGTAATGATTCTCAGGGTGATCAGATCAAGACATGATGTCAGTGCATGAATTCTGTGACTTTTGATATGAGTCTTGCAGGAAGTGGAGATGATGTAAATGAGTGGTTGTAAGCCGTTTGTGAGGTGGGTATAAATCGGTTTGAATGTTGCAGTTGTGTCCACTCTCTGACATTAACTGTTTAGGTATTTTTATTAGTCGTCATAGCGTGGCATGGAGTTTTGTCTACTTTGATATAATTCATTGTCTATATGATTTTTGTTTGGATGGTACTGTGAAGTGTGTTGACTTAAACCGATGCAGTTTTGTCATAGCGTCGAGGTTGATGTTTTCCGTCTTTCTGTGTTTTTTATATACGGAAATATGTTTGTTTCATTATACAGGTCATCTGTAGCTCGTTCATCAGGTGGCTCCGGTTGTTTGAGTATGCATGAATTATTTATCCGATCTTCAATTGAAGCTGCAACTGTGGCGGCTGCAGCAGCTTTATCCAACTCGTCTTCACGTTCAGATTCTGAAGTGCGCACCAGCACGGCCACTAACATTACTGCTTCATCTGGTAATGGGATTAATTTTTGGCATCTTCCTCCAGTACGAAAAGATGAGCTTACTCGAAGAATGGCTTCATACCGTATAATTCGGCTTTTGGTTGAAAGTCGATATTTATTGCCGAGCTTTATTCCCCTTCTAACTGCACGCAATACGGAAGACCTTACACCTTTTATGTTGGCAATTAAAATACGGGCATATAGCGTTGCTCGGTTTCTGTATGATTCTGTTCATGTAAGTACAATTTTATGCTTGATTGTCGCCATCTTATTTCAACATATTTTAATACTCACAAACAGTTTTTATGAAAATACCGTGTATTTTGTTTAGTAATTAACCAACAAACATATTCAAACGACTTTTTTAAATATCATTAATGAAGGCTTTTCCCCCACTAAATTCGTTATGTACAGAAGGTTTGATCAAAATCATGCTACTTTTTGGTATTCTGCCAATACGGACAAGCGCCTGGATAAATTTGTGAACATGATTAGTAATGTTAGATATTGTCTTACCATTTTGCGATTTTTATTTCTTTAAGTATTTATGATGTGAAAAGGAGCTATTTGAACCTGTAGTGGTCTCACCCCAAATTTAAACTGTAGATAGATGTGTACGTTTTGTTTGTAAGTGTTTGAGTCTTTCGCAGTATGATTTTTTACTTTATAAAGATTTCAGAAATTTCCAATCGTTAATATTTGTTACAGTGAATAAAGATGTCTCATTGAGTACTTTACCTCTTAATTGTGCACAAATGCATAGCGGTTTTCTGTTAGCCGTTGGAACACCCTTTTGTGCCAGTTTCGTAATATGTTTCTTTATGAATTTATCAGGATAGCCATTTTCATTTAGTGTATTGCACAGTGTCCTCAGTTCCTCTTCAGTTGTATCTTCTGAACATATAGCCCTTATTCTTTAAATTAGTGTTTTTATTAAATTTTGTTTGTTCTGTATGGAGATGAAGCTAAGAAAATGTGTGCACTCGGTAATTGAGTGTTCATGGACTTCATCGCATCATGCATCCTTGATGATGTTATATGTTGCTTCACCAATTTCTTCAGAGATTCAGTTAATTCTCTTTCTTTATTATCATTCAGGTCCTTTTTGAACGTTCAATTTCTGAAATTTCATCTTATCATTCAGTATTCCATCCATCTTGCTTATGTGGTCACATTTATTAAGAAAAACTACACTATTCCTTAAGTAATTAACAATTTCCCATCATTTAAGAGTTTTTTAATAGTCTGTTTGTGTTTTGTAGTTAAAATACTTTTACAGTTATGTTTACTGCAACAACCAGCCAGATCAGATTTGAAACCTTCTAGTTGTAGACTGGATAATGGCACAAGATCAGTTGTCTCACTGTATTACTTCGAATTGTGTATCAGTATCTCTGTGATTAATGTGGTTTCGCCTATCACTAAATTTGAGACCTGGAGACAGTACTCCAAGTTGTACCGTAATTAAGACGATCCCAGAAAAAATCTGAACATATTTATTAGTATTTGCTGGGGATTCGTTGGCCACTGCTCGACTGTCAAGTCCTCTTTTAAGCTGAACAAGTTTTCTCCTTCCTCTTCTTCTGGTAACTTGTGAGAAATATACCATAATGGGGTATTTTAGATTACCCGAAAGCTAATCCACGACAAAATGTCTTCGAAAGACATTCATTTGTGTTTTCTGTATGCACAAGGGAAAACATTCAGTTTGATATTTAAGGAATATCATTTCAATGTTTTTGAGTTGGATTGAACTCTACTGCGATTCAGTAATGATTTCGGATAACGAGTTAACACAATGCATTGCGCGGTTTTTGAAGTGTAATGGGGAATATTTTTTAACGATCAGCAGAAGTTGTATTGGGATTTGAACTGTTGTTTGTTGTCTGTTACCTTACTTCTCGCAATAAAAATAATGCTTATAATTCTTAGTAGTAGGTATTCAGGATATCTACAGTCCACTGTATAAAATGTTTAAATTAATTTCACATTCCATTGTGTTGTGATTGTTTCACTTTTCATTTTAGTGCTTTCTTGGTATCCCTAGTGATTCCAGTTTGCAAGGTTTACTAAAGCTTCCTTTAAATGAAACTTCCGGTAGTGTTCCAATAGATTTCTTTTCTCCAACAAATCACAAACCAGATGATTCTCCACTTTTCCAACTTTGCTATAACGATACTTGCAGTTTCACATGGACTGGTCCGGATCATATCAGACAGGTATGAGTGTTCTCATAATCATCATATATTTGTTTATATTAGGTGGAGGCTTAATTTTGTTGACTCCTCCGGTTGCCCTTATAGTAGATTGTTGGTAATGTACTAAATAAAATTTAAACACCTTGATTTTCATAATAAACGTCATCTTGGTCACTTCCATATACATTTTTTTGTAGAACATGATTTACTACTTCTGAAATGGTGCGGAAATGTATAGATGAGTTGTTTTTTGTGTCTCTAAATTTCTTGTGCTACGCACTTACAAATAATGCAGTTGAAGAGAAGAAAGAGGAATTCTACAGACAACTGCAATCAGCACTGGATAAGACCTCAGTTGGCGACATCAAAATTCTAATGGGCAACATGAATGCCAAGCTGGGAGCGGACAATACAGGAAGAGAACTAACCATGGATCGAGAAGCGCTAGGTGAAATGGACGAGAATCGAGAATTGTTTGCAGAATTCTGTGCATTCAACGATTTGTTGATTGGAGGCACTGTGTTCAAGCACAAGGATATCCACAAAGTGACATGGATTTCATCAGATGGACACACTAAAAATCAGATCGACTTCACCTCAACGTGAAGAAAGTGGAGATGGAGACACAGCCTACTGGACACAAGATCAGATGAAGAAGAGGAACAGATGTAGGTTTACACCACTATCTAGTGCAACGAACCTACCTTCAAAATCAGGTTGTAGCTTTCAAGGAAGCTGGTGATGGTAGACCACAGTTCAAGTTGAACACCCAGAACGGAAACTGAACCGAATGACGAGACCGCAAAGGACATCTTCGCGTAAGCCAGTCATCAGGATGAAAAAGGGGACATTGAGCAACATCGCAGAAGAAACCTGCGTGGAAGAACACTGGAAGTCTTTGAAAGAGATGTGGAAAAAAACCTGCATAACCGTGTTAGGAACAAATAAGAAGCAAGACAGGACAAGGAAAGGATCTCGACGGACACATGGAAGGTGATAGAGCAGGGAGAGGAAGATGGTGATAGTGAAGCAGAAGATGAACCAGTGCAATGCAGGGATGAACTATGAAGAGAGGAACTGGACAAAGAAGTGAAGACGAGTGCGCGGAAAGACAAAAGACACTTCCACGACACATTGGCAAATGAAACAGAACAGGCTGCAGGTAGGAGAGACAGAGATCTGACAACACTATCTCAAATAACCAGGTTACTGTCTTGGAGGCGAGAGATCAACATAAATGAAACCAATGAGAGATAGTGAAGGAAACCTAGTTAGCAAAGAGGAGAAACAAAGGAAACGATGGGTTTACCACTTCAAAAAACTCTTGAACCAACCACCACCTGCAACTCGACTGAAAATACCACCAGTGACCGCAGAACTACCACCAATGAACACAAGCCCTCTGACAAAACCAGAAGTGATGTCCTGAGCGCCATAAAGTTTCTACAATCCGGGAAAGCAGCAGGACCAGATGAAATCCCACCAGAAGCACTGAAAACAGACACAGCAACAACAGCGGAAGGTGTGGGAGGAAGGAAAGGTACCTGCAGATTGATTGGGATAAGGACTACCTTGTCAAAGTTCCGCAGAGAGGAGACCTAAGTCTTAGTAAGAAGTGGAGAGAAATCATGCTGTTGTCCCTATCCACCCAAGAAGAATCTTATGCCGCATCATCCTGGAGAGACTAAAGGATGCTCTGGATTCAAAATCACGACAGGAACAATCTGGATAGCTTCAAGAAGAACAAATCATGTGCTAATCAAATTGCATCGCTACGTTACGTATCATCATAGAACTGAGTATAGAATAGCGGTTAACTTTCTACCTCAACTTCATCGACTTTGAAAAGGCCTTCGACAGTGTTGGCCGAGAAGTAATTTGGCAGGCAACTGCTTCAACACTACGGTTTTGGTGCCACAAACCTTTATCAACCTCATTCAACAACTATATGAAGACGGCACATGCCGAGTGATTTACAATGGAAAACTGAGTGATGCCTTTGAAGTGGAAGTGAAGATGGGGGTAAGACAAGGCTGCCACGTCTTATCACCGATGATCTTCCTGATTGTGGTCAAGTGGACTGGATCATGCAACAAACAGTGAGGAGCGAGAAGATGGGCATACGCTGGCTGGACCGATGAAAAGACCCTAGAAGATTTGGATTTCGCCGACGACTTGTGTCTGATGTCACACAAACGTGAAGATCTACAGGCAAAAACTGACAAGTTGACAGAAGAGGCGAGGCAGCGAAGAAGGGACTTCAAGTGAACGTAGAGAAAACAGAGGTAGAGGTGATGCAGATACCCAACCAACAACAGCAAGCACCAATCACCATCAACAGGAAGTAGTCTCTTTCACCTATCTAGGCAGCATCGTTTCAACTACAGGTGGCACAATCACAGATGAAATCGTCGAAGCCAAGATCGGAAAGACAGTAAGACAGGCCTTCACCAGTCTGAAACCAGTGTGGAGATCTACTGCACTGCACTCAGCATAAAGCGTGAACAAGATCCGAATTTTCAACACTAATGTCAAGCCAGAAACTTGGCGCATCACGAAGAGCATTTCCAACAAACTACAGACATTCATCAACACCTGCCACCTACGCTCGTTGCTGAAGACCAGATTGCCAGAAAGAATAAGCAACAAGGAACTCTGGCCTGACAACGAACCAATCAAGAACCCATCACCCAACAAATATGCAGAAAAAGACTGATTGAGCGAAGAATATGCAGAAGAAAGTGGAGATGGAATGGGCATACGCTGAGAAGACTATTCGGTGGCATCATGCGCCAGGCCACGCCCTCAAGTGGAATCCAAAGAGGAAACGACGAGTTGGGCGTCCAAGGGTGACGTGGAAGGAGATCATGTGAGGAAGAAATGAAAGCTTATGGGTAGTCGTGGAGCCAGGTTGAAAAGACTGCAGAGAAGAGAGTGAAATGTTGACGTGCTAGTTAAGCCCTATGTTCCACTAGGAACCCAAGGGACAAGTAATCAATAATAATAATTCTTGCTACTGCTTGATAGCTGTCAATTAGTGGATGAAGAGCAATGACTGAATTTTATTTGAACCTCGGCACACTTTCAACGCTAAATAACTGTCATTTATTTGTAGGAAACACCACACCTACCTTTCATGCAAATTGATATTTTTTATCACGATTTGTGCCAGATTTTTATATCCACGCTTCATGGTCCTTATTCGTTTATCTGCTGTATAACGTAGTGAAACAGTGAAATATAGCCACTAAGTAATACTGTGATGGATTATTAAGGAACTGAAATGGAAATATACTTTGTTACAGTGTCTAAATTCTAATCTTATACTCAGCAGCCTTTACATTTTCAAATATATGAATAATTATCTCTTTAGTCTTGTAGTAAAAATCACTTTCATTTGGTGGTTGAACCGTAACTGTTATTTTTTGTGCTTTTGAAATTCGGTTTACTTTCATTTTTTTTCTTCCATTAGGATATCTTTGAATGTCGGACTTGTGGTTTAATGGACTCTCTGTGTTGTTGCACAGAGTGCGCACGTGTTTGTCACAAAGGCCATGATTGTCGTCTCAAGCGAACCTCTCCAACAGCCTACTGTGATTGTTGGGAAAAGTGCTCTTGTCAGAGCCTTGTCGCTGGATTTCAAGCTCCACGTCATCAGTTATTTTATCGTCTATTGTCTGAAACTAAGTTAGTACAACATCGAAATGGTCGTGGAGAACATTTATTACTTTATCTAGCTAAGTGTATGGAGCGTCAAGCACGAGAACAACGACAACATCGTCCATCCAGACGTCGCCTAAATTCCAATGCAAACCGAACTAATTCAGTTAGTAATCCACCTGTTACTTCTGCAACAAACACAGTCTCAAACTGGGAATCAAATAATGGAGCTCAGAATACCGGACCAGAAGAGCCTGATCATGATTTGGAGCCTCCTCGTTTTGCTCGCGACGCCTTTGAGTTGGCTCTTGATTGCCCTGCTGCTGTTTATAGTATACTGACGTTAGATAATAATTCAGATAATTTATCAACTGGTTCTCCTGAACATAAAAGTGGTTTTATTAGTGAAGATCAGGTAAATCTTTGAATTGCGTCAGCAGTGCTTTTAGTTGGTAATTTTTGTCAGCTCACATGTCAGTTATCAACTAACTTTGTATTTTCGTGTGGATTTTGAACATTTAGATCATTCATATACAGTCGTTTAGATTATCAGTTCATTTTACTTTCGAAAATGAAATCGGTGATTTGATACATTTTCTTGATGTACTAACGATAACAAAGGAGTATGTGTAGAAGTATATATATAGAAAACCGACGTCTGAGGTTCAGTATACTCACTTTCTCATCTCCGTGTCGATGAAGTACAAACGTAATATAATTAGGTGCCTAGCAGGTCGTCTTTGCATATCTTTCAGTACTCGGCCAATGCTCAGTCTTATACCAAAGGACAGCTTGCTTAATCTTAGCTCTTCATGTTGCATATATCAAGTTAATTGCTCCTGTGGAAACCGTTACATGGGGCGTACGATTAAGCAAGTGCTTCTCGGCTTGGTTAAAAAAAGCGGGGTGAAAGTGGTAAAAAGTTCCTTCCTAGCACATCTAATAGACACCGGGGGGGAGGAAGGGGGGCAACACATGGGTGCTAATAAAGCTTTAAGTGTCGTGTGCCAGAAGCATTACCGGGTGCTTGCTCAACATAGCTGAGGCTATTGCAATAAGACTGGTCAAACCGGAACTTAGTATTTAGAAAGATCATATCTAAGCGTTATTCTTACCTTGGCCTTCAGGAAACTAAACGCTACTTTTGTCTTCTCTATTCGTTGTCTTTTCGTTTACCTTCACACTATTCATCAGTGTATATGTCAGCCTAATATTGACAGAGTTAAAAAGAAAAATCGAATTCCCTATTCTCACTAAACCTTAATCCGTTTTGAAAATATATTCGCCTCTAACTCGCCTTATTTTTACACTGTACAAATGCATTTTATAGTTGTAAAACCTGATGGGAATTTATTGAAAAGAATATTATTCGTTTAGACTGCTGCCTTTGCATAGATCATTCTTACTTGAATAACAACTTCAAATTTGAATCGGTTAAGATCGTATATTGGTGTTTTTCTTTTTAGGTGTTTCTGTCATCTCAGGGAGGAACAAATCAACTGGATGATTTCGTATTTTTACTTATTTGTAAGTGTCCCCCCGAAATGACTGACATTCTACTGTCTACTTTAAATCGAAGTATTGTGAATCATCCTTCAAACGTCGAAGACAAAAAAAGAAAAGCTTCAAGTAATAGTTCTCCATCCATAATACTGAGTACCTCAGGATATTCTAAATATGGCGATTATCCCACATCTGCTGAAATGACGGCAGCAGCCCGTCGATTTGTGCGTTCTGTGGCTCGTATATACGCATGTTTGTATTTGGAATTGGCTCCAGATCAAAAAAAGAAAAGGTCAGCAAAATGTTACTCATATACCATTACTTATTAAACTTTATTGTGTTATTATTTGGAGATTAATATGATAATATCATTTTTTTTTCTCAACCTTTTGTGCTCATAATACCTGCTATAAAGTTTCGTCACGCATTATCTAAATATTATCTTCAAATTGTAGTCGTTTGGGTTTGGCTCAACCGACGCTTTTGGATCTCTGTCGGCGAATATTTAGTACCCTTGCTCCAATTGCTATTAGTGAACTACCGGTACTTGCTGCTAGCCTTCTTGTCCCCATTCGTACGGGTACTGTTCGTCCATGCGGATCGTTTTTGCTTACATCTCAGTCAAGTGAAATCATATCGGTAATTTTTAAAGATATGTTAGCATGTAATTTTAAATTATTCATCTATTCCTCAGCGGTTGGTTCAAATGTAACCATGTACCTTTATGCTACTCACTACTTTTTCCCGCTAAATACTAATCATGTGTAATTATTATTACCACTATGATTGTTTTTAACTATGTGTATGATGTTTTCAAGAAACATTTTTAAGAATGACTTTACGTATTTCAGTTCTAATCTTACGATAAGATCAACATTTTCGTTTTCTTTTTACTATAAAAGTTATGACACTTAATAATAAAGTCATTTTCTTTATTTCTAAGGGACTTGAATTGTTAATTAATGCTGAAAGGAATAATTTTACGCGCCAGCAATTGCTTTCTTCTAGTGAATTCACGAAATCCGATGATCTACCCAATAGAGGAGTACAAAGATCCATGAGCATCGATGATGATGGATATAGGGTAACCTTTATCGTTTAATCGTTTCATTTAAGATTTTATTACTTCTGTCTCATGAACAACAATCTTCAGATTAGCTATTTTTAAATCTGAATACTCTTCATGAGGTATAGTCTATTTATTTTCTTCTATGAGTTCTACAAGTTGTATAGTAACAGAACTTAGAATTGTTGATTACTTCTATTAGCTCATCGTACCACTGAAGGACATTTGAATATCTCTGTAAAATACAAAATTCAATAATACCCAGTGGTCGCTAGTTTAAATCCGACTGCGGTCCAAATTTTCATTCCACTTTCAATCATTACCCAGCATCAATAATATTTGTTAGAAAAATAATATCATCATTTTATTACACACCACCAGTGCATTGATAATATAAAATTCATATGGTTTTACTAGTTATTCCACGCTATGATTTCAGTAGTATTGAACACTTCACTCGATTACTTTTAGCTATAAAATGAACCACAAACTGATTCTTTGTTGGTGCGAAGCTTGGTAAAAAAAAACTTTTTTTTACCATAGGAACACCCACGTATAGTGTTTGGTTTACTGGTATCCTAACGTATTTGACGATTGTCCTTCATGCAATAGACCGTTTTCTGAAAACAACGCATATTTCTTATTTCTCACTCATGATGTATGAATATGAGTGTTAAGTGAACATTATATTTTATTTACAGCATCATTCGAACTTCAATGTACAAACAGCATACCATAGTGATGCAGAACCTATGACGATACAACCTATACGTCACCAGAATGTTGTATCTACACTACATGTCGAGTTAACTTCTCCTCACGTTGCCATCTCTGATGCTTTGGAGTCTGATACTAACAAGTATGTTCATACAGAATCGAATGTTGAAGCTGCATCACCAAATACAATCACGTCTTCAATAAATGACCCTTCATTACTAACTCTTCAAATGCAGTCCACTATCACTGATATAGAGACAAGCGTTTCTGATCATGCTCAAACGGTTTGTTTCACTATTTTTAAAAACTTTATAATCTTTTCAATCAAACATGTTATCTTAAACTTTTGCTTGCCTATTTTAATGCTAACAATGCATTTTTGATAACACTGTCATACGGTGTATATTTATTTGGTTATCTTCAATGTTACATGATAACTATTCTTAGGCCGATTATTTCATAAACAGTTGCTTTTGTAAAACTTAATGTAAAAATATAAGGTCTCGTTTCTATTGATTAATGAAAATGAACCTAGAAAACAAAGAAATTCACTTTTTCTTACGTCATAAGATGCAAAGATTATCTGGTTTATATTTTGTAGAAAATGAATTCAAGCCCATAGATAGAGACTATTTTTTCATCAACGTTAAGAATATAAGTGTAAAACTTGGGTACTGTGGTTGATTGTAATTCCATTTTAGACTAAAATGGAACGTTAACAGTAGTTTACTTTAATTACTCATTCTTCACTGTAAACTTAAACAATAAGCTAATGTATTTGACCATATTGCATTAGAGTTCACTTTTTCCTATGTTACCATGTTATATCATTTATTTTGTGTCTATATTATACCTCGAAATTCAAAAACACTCCCTCATGATTACAAAAAAGCTATGGTTATTAAAAGTCGACGCCTTATCAAAAGTCAGCATCATGTTACAACTTGAAGATTGTACTCCATCTTCACTTTATTGAAGCTGTTATATATTTTCTGCGTAGAATTTTCAGTAAATGTTTCACTTTCCTATTTCGAAAAGTGCCAAGTTATTTTCTGTTTTTTTTAACGTTTGAAAAATGCGTGCCTTTGGATTAATACATGACATCAGTCCATGAAGTTTTTGACTGTTGATTTCAATCTTGAGGGGACTGCGGTTTTTCCAGTCGGCGTCCACGTCACAACTGAAACCGGCGGTTGAAGGCTTTAGGTGATCTTGGTTGTATTGTGTTCTCTGAGTTGTTTAGTCATGATATGACTTAGAATCGTTCAGAACGGCATACATCTAGCTACACGTTATCTTCATCTTAATTGTCATGTTGAATCTCACTGTTGTCGCATTCTTTGTACTGTTTTCACAACTTTCTACCACTTTTGATTACTTCCTTCCATATTTCTTTATCTTTTATCTCAATGCAGTGTCTTGATGTGTTGATATGAGGTGTAGCTACTTAGACCGTTACATAGCAATGCCAAGTTCCGTGTTACTATTTACTGATTTTTATACCTCTCCTAACCTTTTTTTCGTCTGCGAAAGACTATTTTACTACGTAACATGGAACTTATGATTAGTCCTCATTATTCATAGTAACTGATTTTTCATACTAATTTTTTGTGATGTTTGACCAGTCACATTGTAGTTTGTAGATGCATTTTAGATTTCAACATGTGATACAGACAGTCATGGCGATTCAGCTTCGAATTGACTTTTCCGCAGGAGGTATCTTCACTGAACAGCTTACTTGTTTTCATCATAATTGCTATTCCCTGTACTATGGATTTAACCGAACATGTAAAAATCCGTGTCGTAGTCTAGGATTTATTACCAGTTAGTATCATACCTGCATTGTTTTTAGTTTTTATGAAGATAGTAATGAAGCTTAGTTTTGGGTAGTCATTATTCCAGTCTTCAAGAAAGGCGAGAAGTCCTCTTGTGATAATCACAGAGGAATCAGCTTGACGAGCATAGTGTCCAAGATCCTAGGTTCTATAATTCTTCGACGCCTGAGTGGAGTTCGGCGACAACAAGCCCGAGAAAGCCAGGCGGGCTTTAGACCTGACAGTAGGTGTATCGACCAAATATTCACACTGCACCAGGCACTACGTGAGTAACGCGCATGTCAGGTATAGAGTTTTATGGAGAATGGGTGAGTCAGTTGACAAGGTGGTAAACCTTCATCGACTGAGATAATTGGGACACGTGTTACGTATGCCTAGTCACCGATCGCCTCGTCATACAATGTTGGCCGAAGTAGCTTCAGGCTAGGAAAATGCTCGAGGTGGTCACACTAAAGCATGGCATCAATGTCTGGTCCTATATTGATTTCGATGGATGAATGGATTGGGTAGTCATAAGAGTTTAACACTGGGTTTATATGATTGCTTTTATCAGTATCTGAAACAAGGACTGTTCTGTATTATCGATCAGTTGAAACAGTGTGTATGACGGATTTAAAAATAATGGATTTTTCAGAAATATGTTTATCCATGTGTACTTGTAGTCTTTGGGCTATTCTTCAGCCATCAACCGTTGCCTAATTTTCATATGTGCTGTGTGCTGAAAATTCCATCGATTTACAATGAGTTTGATTCATAGTCGTAGCTGCTTATAATATCATATTCCATCTATTTTCGCCTATACAACCGGATAGTATCATAAGCTCTTGTACAGTGTATCGTCTGAAGTCTAACATATAATATTTGTAATAAGTTTATTTACATAAACTAGGGTTTTTACTTGTTTTTCCTAAAGGTGCTTATTATTGTATTATGTTTACGTTAGGTTATGAATCCGACGTCTGATTCATCTTCCATTACCATCAGACCAGAACTAAACAACTCCCTTTGAATACAGCTGCATCGTCTGTTGCAAATACTGCAAGTCGTAGTTCAGTAAATTTCGTCTTTGGTCCAAATTTTTCAGTTGCCAGCTGCACAGAGTCACAATATCATATTCAGCCCCCTGTAACTTCTGGAGAGTCGCATGCATCTCCAACATATGGATCTGTTGATGAAAACACTGCTGAGCGGGAGAATCTTACAAGGAGAACAGAAGGTTTAGAAGCTACTCATGATGGGACTGTGGATTTAGGAACCTGGTCTTATTCACGACAGGAGTCATCATACCATTCTCATGTATTTCCGTTGATAACGGATGATAGTGTTGTAAACGATACATCTGATAATGATGTTACTTTCCCCAGTGGTTCTAGACGTCGTGTGACCGTATCCAACGGTAACAACTTATCTAAACGCCGACGAACCATGGAACCAGATGTTACCTCACCAGATTCTAGGGATGATACTATTCAGGTCGATCCCCAAATAACTTATTCGCTATCACCGTCGGCCCAAGATGAACTTCCACTGTCTATCCTGGAAACGGATGGAGCTGTCAGTCAAACAAGCAGTACAGCTGTTACATTAGGTAGCACCACAGACTTGGATATTGGGTCAGAGTTGTCATCCAATTTGAATGTAGAACTGCATCCAGCAACTAGCTTTTCTACAAATATGATATCATCTCAATCGGTTAGTTGCTTACTTGTAATAAAAATTTTTGTGGTTCATTGTAGGTCATAGTTACTGGATCTTTCACATATATACAAGAAAAATTTCCTTTGTTTTTCTTTGAGTCTGGTGCACAACTGAGCTTTAATTTCATGCTTTTTAGTCTTACTTTCGGCTTTTGGTTGCTAAGCCTTAACCATCTATAGAAGCTTCTTTATTTTTCAAAAGTGACTGTAGGTTTAGAACTGTATGTTATCTTTTCGAACAATTGATTTATACCTTATCTGGAATTATTTTCGGTAAACATTTTATGCTGTTCATCCAGGATTCAACACCCGTTTAAATTTTGCATGGATGAATGTATTTATAAATGAGACATCTGCTTCAAGTAACTTCTGTTTGAGGTACACTTTTATCCAGGAAATAAACTACTTGATCTGCTTACATTTCACGTCATTCTAAGATAAATTTTGGTTTTATTGATCTCTAGTATTTTAGTCCTTATTCAGTTTTCGGTGTAAAATGTAGTTTTGTAATTATCACTTGCTATTTGAGAAGGTTTTCATGATTTATTTTGTTCGGCTAATGACTTAATTCACTTTCACACTAATTGATCATTAGATAGTAATCAATGCTATCTTGCCTTGTTCCAGGTGACAGACTTCTTGTTGACTGCGTCTAATCACCTGGTCATCCCGATTTCGTTGGCTGCTGGGGGGGGGGGGTGGCAAGCATTTTTTTGATATTAAACCTGTTGTTGTTAGTTTTTATTCACTTTTCTTGGTAGCTTTTAAAGTCTATTTTGGCGTATCAAGGATACTACTTAGGGTTCTTCGAATTATCTGCCTACTCATGTTGATGTTTTTATTGATCTCAAACTGTTCACCTTTTATTAGCATCAGCGCACCTCCGAAGTTTCTGATCGACAACAGGAAGAGATTGGATTTAGTCAACTGCTCAACTCTGACATTGATCTTTATCAGTCGTCACTGACTATTCAAGATGGATCTCTAGCCGGTGAACGTGGTGGTGCCATCAGTGAACAGCAAAATGATATTGGTTTTTCTGTTTCTAACCAGTCCAACACTTTCCAAGTTGAAGATGCTTCTGATGGTCAAGCTTCAGATTATGATGAATACGATGAGCAAGATGATGGGGATGATGGTGACGATCATGAGGATGATGATGAAAATGAAACTGAAGATGAAGATGGTGATCAGGATGTTTATGTTGATGGGGATCAACTCATAGAAGGGGAGGATGATGAAGACGATGAGGATGATGAGGATGATTCTTCTCATCACAGTGATGTAAGTTAGTCTTTTTTTCCACTCACATTTATGTTCCTCGTATGGTAAGTAGCAATCAAAGGCAAGTTGTTATATAACTCAGTTTATTTTGTTTTAGAAGATTGTTGTAACTAGTCTTAGAAAATCATATGATTAAAAAAACAGTATTGAAAAGTTTAAGGTGTTTACTTTTCATATCATCAGTTCTTAGTTTCTTTATTTCTAGGCTTCAAGTGCTGATGCTGGAAGCCGATCAACATCTCCTACTTGGGTATCATGGCCAAGAACATCGGTATTTTCTCGTTTAAGTTCCCGAGCTACCTCTCAAAGTTCGGAACCTGTAGTTACCTCTTCATGCACAACAGATGCTTTGAATAGCATCCGTTACAACGCCAGCGAACTAAATGCAGTGACGACAAGTCAAAGTTCGACAAACATTACTTCCGTCTCTCTTCAAGGACGCAATTCTTCTAGTTTGATCTCAGGTCGTCGTGCTGTTCAATCAGTGATTAGTCTTTTGAATACAACAACGTCTTCTGCAACACCAACTCTGGTTATCACAAGCACTGGAAATGTGAACAACACTCCTGTCTCCACTGAAACTGCTGTTACAAATTCCACTACATCTGTCACCACTCCAGCTGTTTCTGCCACTGTAAGTTATCATGTGAATTATCTGAGGTTGCATATCTTCACTATCTTTGTTCACTGAATAAGACTAGTCAAAACTGCTGAATACCTTGTTTTTATTCTCAATTTGTAGGTGGGGTGTACAATGATGACACAGGTTTATTTGTGTCGTGCATTCGCTTCTCTTTTGCGTATAACTGCCGATCTTCTTACTGAACTTCAAGGAGAATCAGGTCACTATTCAAGTACTTTACGTCGTTGTACATCAGTTCCCACTAGTATTGGTCTTCCTATGACTATTTATGAACAACAACGCCGTTGGCCTATTTACTGCTCATCTATTTTGGTAGCTACCTCAACCGCATCAGTTAACACCCAACCTCTTGTATTGTCTTCAAACAACATTCTCCCTTCAGTTTCTCGCCAAAATTCTACCTCCACAGATTATCACTCGTCAACTCTCAGGGGTCGTTTATTGAAATCATGCGCGTCAGCCGTTTGTTTATCAACTGAACCAACTAGCTCTATGAAGTTGGATTCGGATTTTCATAGTTTGCAGCTGGTGGCTTCGGTTGGTGTCGCTCTAATCCCTGTGTGGCAATGGGTGACTTCAGCTATGGATAATCTAGAAGCTCAATTACGTTTTTCCGCTTCTTGGGATGCATACTTTTCTGGCAGAAGTAGTACAAAAGGCGCACCGAAGAATTCCAGTGAAAATCAAGATGGTAACTTTCTGTCTTACATAATGACCTTTTAACAAGATTTTCACTAACAGTGTACATTAGTTTATATGAATGCATTACTGGGATATCCGTAGTTGTTCGATATCAAATGACCTTGCAACTAGATTATATTCTTTCTTTTCCAGGTTCTGCCTATTCCATGCGGGATATTCCCAATTCAAATGTGAGTTTGTGTTGTACTGTACGCTTTCTAACACTCTATAGTTTGTAGTAAATGAACCTTATATCTTGATAAACACAGAAATAAACGAATTATACTTGAAAACGAATCAACTCAAAGTGATATCTTGTTAATTACCGAGAAAGTGTTAAAAATGCTTCTCTTCATTTTCTTCCAGTTTTTTATATTCGAGTAAAAAAATCCTATTAACAGGTTTTAATCACATATGGTTCATTGTCTTTCAGTCAATAGGTCTCGAGTTTGTACCTGGCTGCACTTAATTTGACTTGGACAAGATAGCAGCGTCATTAGCCCTTATATTAAGTATGGCTAGCAGCATAATAAATACATCTGTAATTGGTTGATTTGAATGGTTTATTTTTCTGGGGACACTTTCTATATTCGGCAGATAGTGAAACTGTTTATTGCACCTAATTGTTAATTTGTTGATATACTATTTTCGGGAACACCGCATTTACTGCGCAGATGATAATTTACTTTCGTTGTTATATATATATATGTTTGTAGTGAGAATAGTACCTTAGTACCTTACGCATGAGGTTGGACTCTGTATATTTTATTCTTAATAACGTTCTCCTACAACTAATTTTCCTTATCAATTTCTGCTACTTGATCTAGCTTTCACAAACTGGTAGTGATGTAAACACCAGACGCGGTTATGCTTCAGGGTTAAACTCCAGAAGACCTACTCTACCGAATACGTCGTCGTCATCCACAGTGAATTCGCGCTTACCTTCAATTGATATTTCTGTTGGTAGTAATAGTACAGACAGTGCAGCGGTCATTATTGGGCAGCGGCATGACTTCTTAGCCTATTTGTTTTCGATAATGCGAGCTTCAGGTGGTGATCATGGTGATTCGGTGCCATTTGTCGATCCCAAGTAAACAAACATCTTGCTTATATTTTGGATGCTTTGCTATATTTCTTCCGTGCATTCGAATCTTCTTGGCCATCTGGTATTACACGACAATTGAAATTGATATTGCCCGAATTAAATAGTGTTCACGAAGTAAAAGATTCACAGCAGACGTGTGTTCAGGAAACTGGCAAGGTGAGTATTTGTTTTTCGTCTTACTTTATTCACTTTACTACCCATCCATTATTAACATTTCAACTAGATGACTCATAATATACCTCTCGTCGCCAGCTTAAATAGACGTAGACCTAATCACAGGAGAATTTTCGTTAGACCTAGAATATGCAGTTAAGTGAAGACGCTGACAAGATGCAGAGTCTTCTGAACACTTTGAGTGGGAATTTGAGAATGTTTGGGATGTGGTCCTCACCACTTAAATGCAAATTTTTGCTCCACGATTGGTCTTCAGTGGTACCATGGCTAACAATAGAGAGTGAAGTGGTTGAGTGTGTCCGTGATATCCGACTGTCTATTAACGGTCCCCTGTACTGCACAGCAGTCCGCTCTGTTCTACTCTGTGGCTGTGAAACATGGCCATTGAAGGTGGAAGATATGAGAAGGCTTCATGTTTTTGACCACCGTTGCTTTCGTAGTATAGGCCGTGTCGTGGTGTCACCACGTGAGTAATGCAGAAGTCAGGTGTAGAGTTTTAGAGAGTAAAGGTAAATCATTTGACGAGGTTATGAACCTTCATCGATTAAGATGATTGGGACACATGTTACGCATACCTAGTCACCGATTGCCTCATCACACAATGTTGGCCGAAGTAGGTCCAGGCTGGAAAAAGGCCCGAGGTGGCCAGACTAAAACATGGCACATGACTGTTGGTTTGAGCCATGTAGGGCGATGCAGACTAGGTGGTTGGGGTCCACGGGACAAGAGGAACCAGTGATTGGAGACCCTAGGTGATATGGCTCAGAACCGATGTCAGTGGCGCAGATGTATACACATATCCTAATCTTAACACTACCGAATCTCACCATTCTTCCTTTCCTTCTTCCTTTCTTTCTTCTCGTATTTTATATTTCTTTTGACTGAATTTTTTTATCTTCATCTTTCACTTCACTACCTTTCTATTTGATGTACTGATATGAAGTGTGGCAACTCGGACTGTTACGCAGTAATGCCTTATCCTGTGTTGATAATGATGATGATAATACACCTATTGCAATACTCATCATTTTTGTACATATTTCAAAGTTAGTATTTTGCATATACCTAACACATTTCTACGTTTTTCTTCATTTCTGTTGTGTTTAGTCATCAGCCTCATTCGCACTTCGTAACCCCCAATCGTTGTGTTCCAGCAAAATCCCAGATTTCAATACTAGTAAGTTGTTTCGATACTCATTTGTGTTTGATTTTTATTTTTAAAAAGTTATAACCTCGAAGGTATGAGGGAGTAAAGCAAAAAAATGGCTGCGTTCCCTTCACTTTGCATGTACTTCTAAACAAACTTATGTACTAACAACAGGCCACCCACTAATTAAAAGAACCTGCACTAAATCTTAGAATCTGGTTCTATGTTTTCATTTTAGTCCTATTTCTTGTTTATTGATTTTGTGGTTGTAGACTTCAACTGAGGTAGATGCGTTGTATGTTCGAATATCTACCTTCAGATAAAATATTGACTGAAAGGAAATAAAGTTTGAAGAAGTCTAGTGGTGAACACACATCAAGGCTCTCCTCGAAACCGTGGAGTTTCTGACTTCAGGTTTGAATGAGACTCTGAAGGCCAAACTAGCAAAAACTGAAATAACCAATCAGGCTTCTTAATTTTGACTGGGAAAGGTTGTGTTTTCTAGAAATACAAAACTTTAATGGGTCTCTTCAGTTGGATTAGGGTTAGGGGTGATCTTTTGAGTCACTTTTCTAATCTGAACCGGATGAAAACTAAAACTAATGGTAATCTGATGTCGATGAGATGCCTAATGTATACTGTTGGTCCAAAGCAGATAACTAATTTTTTGACTTATCTACAAACACTAGTTTTTAAAAATTATTTTGTAAACCTTACTCCTTATTTCTCTTTTTATCTTATTTCAATGTACACTGCAGTTTTTATACCTGATCACACCGCTCAGCGCAGCGATCCGTTTTTCCGACGTTCAGAAAGTATTTTATCCTTATCAGGTCTTGGTCCTGATTTACTAGATGCACCCTTATCAGAATCTCTACCTCTAGCACTACAGCCTCAGTTATTACAACCTACGTCTGGAAGAGCTGAATTATTTGGTTGTGATCGGTAAGTTACATGTTCTGTGAAATAAATAATTGAAAGCTAGTTGCTATTATGCAAACATGTTTAAGTGACTAATGCCGTACTTATCTTCTTTCCCCTTGAAAAAATAGGCTTATACCTGTTAAATCAGCCACTAATTTTTCCAACACGCGTAAAAATGATCAAATTCCAATGCATATGAATGCAATGTCAAGTACATGGGGTGAACGAATGTGTACTGGTTATACCACAAATGTTTTAGGCCTTGATGGTGAAAATTTCGAGTTCCCATCCTTTGTCATACAACAGTGTAAGTGTTATCAGAAGTAAAGTTTTATTGTGGTATAGTTTTCTAGATTGCAGTCAAACATGGGAAATATTAGAAATGTTTTACATATTATTCTATTCATCTCTTTTTTTTGAATAGTAATGGTTGGCGCAAAGTTTTTGGATTCCGTTGGACATTCTGCTACTCTTCTTTCACGATGGTGCTCATCTTTGGAATTTTTTGGACGTCATTTCACTCCTGATGTAGGTACTGAACAAGGGAGTTATATTTTTGAACTTGGCGGATTTTCTCTAAAGGAAGGTCGGTTTAGAAAACAAATGGAACGTCTTCGCAACTTGTCACGCAAGGATCTAGTTTTGGAGGTAATTTCACCAGTAGTTTTTCCTTATGATATTTAGATACTGAAATACTTTGTATATATAAAAGGGGGATTTAAGTGATACTATTTTAGTCAAGTGCCTACCCTTTATAATTTTACCGCCGGATAATTGATGGTTGTTTATGATATTCACTTATCCTGAAAATGTCAGGATATGCTACTAAACTAGAAAATTATGAGAAGATAGGAATTTCATGAGACTACCTGTTCATCGTATGGGGCATACTGTACTTTTCGTTCGACTTAGCTTCAACTTCCTTGCAAAATGAATATCATCGTAGTGATTCGAGTAATTCTCAGTTAATTCTAAGATTCTCGTTTCTCCACAATGTGTCGAAAAATCCAAAAATAAAATTTTTGTTGGTATGAGGCTTTTTGATGTTCATGCTTGAGATCTATCTCTGTCGAAATTCACCAGTGATAATCTACGCTGATTTCGTGTGGTTTCTGTTGGGTGTGCAAACTAAACTCTTAATTCTTTGGGGGGAAATGTCGAAGAGAGTTAATTTGTTCCTATAACAATGGAGGAAAAAAACTAATCTTCTAACGATGATTTGATTGAATCGCATTGAAAATAATGTAAGATGTTTTAAGAAAACGTGAAAACTGGAAATACTGATTATCATTATAGATGATTGCAACTGCGTAGCTATGCTATGGTTCCTAAGGAACGAGGGATCGCACTCAGCGAGTAACAGTGCAAATCTGTATCCTATATTACGAGTTTCTAATCATATGTGCCTTTTCAGAATTTTTCGCATTTAGCGGAATCAATATGTGAGCAATGTCGAGGCTAGTCGTTGGGTACAGAGAGTACAAGAGAGATAGGTTAATTGATGAAACTATGAATCTTTACCAATTGATATGACTTAGATATGTGTTGTTCTTTCTCTCAACCCCTGCCTACCTTAATGCATGACGTTAGCAGAAATAGGATGCAACTGAAAGAAGGGTAAAAACAAGCGAAAGCACAGGGGATTTGAAGATGTTATTTATCGACAGACTACCGAGCGTTTATTTTCTTTTTTTGTGCGTTTCAGACACTACTTTCTATGCAATCGATAAGCCTCTTTTCTGACTGGGAGTTAAATTCACTGTCGGAACTTAAGACCAAACTAAAAAACTGCATAGATATTGACATTGATTAGCATTTACCTTTTATTCTCATTGATCTAGTTAAGATGACAGTTAGAGTATAATTCCAAAGTAGGTTGTTTATTTGACATAGCCCACGACGATAAAGTATTATTTACTGGATGACGTTTCAAGCGGAATTTATTGTTCATATTCATCATATCCTACTACGGTGCTCAAGTTTTTCTGTTACATTATATAGCAATTAGAGCATAATGTTTCACAATTATTTAGCAAATAAAATATTTGAACGGTGTCGCAGTATTTTAGCCAACATACAGGTTAAAAGTTACTCTCTTCAGTGTGATGAACATCTCGTAGAACTCCTTAAACAAGTTCTAGCGATATAACCAAGTTCGCTAATAAAAAATCCACGATCGTTTGTCGAAAGAGGGAAAACGGGTAATTATCACATGATTTCGACGATACTACATCTTACCAGTGATTATTTCCCCCGATTTCTGTTTTTCATGTTACTTTCTTTTCTTTTCTGCTTCATTTCCCATCGTTGGTCGACGTATTATTCTTGAATCGAAACTTCATATAATATTTCTTATCCTCTTCTAATATTTTTCAGGTTGAACGAGAACGTGATCCACTGATCGTAAACACCATCAAATCGTTAAATATGGAGTATTCCAAGCGTCAGTCTCAGGCGCCATTAAGTAACTTTAGTAGTTCACCAGGTGGTTCAGTATCAAACGTAAGCAATCCACCCCTTTATTATACGAATGCGAACACTCAACAAAGAGATTCATCTGTGACTCGTTCTAATGTGAATACAAGTCATGGGGGTATCGCTATCCTTCTTGGAACTACAACTGACTCACCGTTACTGGGGACATTGTTTAGTGCTAGTCCAGCAACTCCAACGTCTCTAGTCGCTACAAGTTCAACCACTTCCGGACAACAGGGAATTCTATCATGTCGCCGTATCAAAGTTACTTTTAAGGATGAACCTGGAGAAGGTAGTGGTGTTGCCAGGTCGTTCTTTACTGCATTTTCAGAAGCTGTTTTGTCTCAAGAATCCTTACCTAACTTGAGTTTATTTATTCAGCAAAATTCGAACTCTGCAAGTGAGTCAATTTTGTAAATTCAGATAATCAAATATTGTTTGTGTTTGCTTTTAATGGGGGCATTACTGAAAATAAAATGCTGGTGTTCGTTTTTATTTTTTCCGTTCCCTCAGATAATCAACCACCACATTTCCATCGTCATTATACCGTCTTGAATCGGTCTCAAACCAATAACTGTGGTAATAGATCAACTTCGGTTTTGGTGCAGTCAACAGCATCTAGTGTGTTCCAACCGTCACCTCAGTCTGTAACAAGTAACTCTAACACTGTTCACTCTCAAACTCTAATGTCTAGCTCTGTAACCAGTGGACTGACCGGACAACACGTAATACCTTTAACAACAACGACTCAAACTCCTGTTTCTTTTTATTCGTATCAAGTTCCTCGACTGCATACATACACAGTTGGATCACGTACTAGAGTAAGTGCTTGGCGACGATCTGGAAGGCTTTCTGCGAATGCCCCTCCGTTCTATCCATCTGTTACTCATACGGTTCTGTCAGCAGCTGATTCCAATTCTGAAGCCAGTTCTCGTAATCCATCGCCAGTTCGAAATTCTGAAATCTCAGTTACCAATACCTGCAGTGTAGAAATTTCTTCCGCATCTAAACTTCTGGATACATATGCCTCAGCTCAGCCTACTAGGTCTAGCACCAGCGCTTCACCAGGTCAGTTAACACAATTATAATTTTGGTAGATATGAAGAATAATTAGATGAAATTTAAATGTATTCATACCTCGAAAGTTGAGACTTGACCGATTTTCCTCTCTCTGATTTTATGATTCTGTAAGCAAAAAAAATCATTTTTTCGCTTATTAGTCCAACGACAACATACATGTGAACATTGTTCTGTGTACTTTCGCATACTACTGAAAAAGCCTTTAAAAGTAGATGAACGGGTTTTGTTTTAAGTGGTTTCTTGACTTGTTTATTTGATTTATAACACACAGTGATGTAGTATTATTTACTTGATGACGTTTCGAGCATAAATTACTGATAAAACCTCAGGGGTTGCTGTTTCGAAATCAAATACGGTTTACGTCTAAACCTACAACGAAAAAGGATAACTTTTGTGAACTAAAGTTTATTTGAAAAGATTTCGAATACTTCCTCGTCGTGATTAGAAGCCACAAGGATTGCACTCTGACTCATACTATTGTTTCTGAACTTCTGTCGATTTCAGTGGTTTCCTATCATTGACTATAGTTGTCAGGCACTCACATATGACAAATATTCTGGTCTAATCTAAAAAGCAGTTAATACCAGTAGGAAACGGTTTTATAGCCTTTTTAGACATCTGAGTCCTCAAATGTTGTAAATGTATGTGATTCATCCACTTTCCGTTTAGTGTCGATCAAACGATGTCGGATAGGGTTGTATTGTTTTACGTCGTGGATTGTCATTTTCTGACATGTAGGTGAAATATTTTTTATGGAGTCTTAACTTAGGCATCATCCTTTTGGTGTACATATCAGAGAAGCATTATGCCGGAAAATTCTCTCTCAATGTCTTTTTATTTTTACTACTTCATTTAGATTCATTACAACTCATTTATCTGAAAGTATGTCTTTCAATCAGTAACATCTTCGGTATTTTTCTGAAATTTGTTTTCAGGATTAAGTCCTGGACGAAATCAAGATCCATCTGACATTTCACCATTTATTTCTGAGCCATCTAACTCGATTCACTCATCTGATACTGGCAACTGTAGCTCTCTGTTTACTCGAAGTGATACAACAGATGGAAAGTCTGTAGGAAATCGACTATTCACACGTATTCAGCCTCTAGTAAAAAGTGAGCATCTGACTGCGCGAATCACTGGAATGCTGCTTGAATTGCCGTCTTCAGAGCACGCAGTTTTGCTAACAAATGAAGAAGCATTGTGCAATCGTGTTGATGAAGCTAGAGCGCTGATAACAATGTCCGATACAAATGAACAACAGTAAGTTAATGGTATTAATACATAAACATACTGTCTAGTGTTTCATAAAGACAGATCCTGAGTGACCACATACGGGTTTTTGTCCTTTCTATAGTTATATAGAATATTTCATTGTACCGTTGTTTATAATACAAGTAAACTCCGCTTTTTTCCAGTCTTAGTGGTCGTCCGCGAATTTTTCCAATATCTGCTAACCAACGACTTCTGGATCGGGTGGTAAGTTGGCGTGGCAGGACTTTGACTGTGTTCGGCACTACTCCTACTACTATCTCTCAACCCGACTTATCGTCGCCTTCAAGTTCAACTACAGAGTTACTCACACCGGAAGATATAGAACGTGTTCCGCTTTTCTGGCAACCTGGACTACAAGGTTATTATTTCCCACGAGCTGTTCCTAGTAGTAATGTAGCTTCAAATCAAACATGCGACCCAGTTAAACTAGCTGCACGTTACTCAATATATAGGTGAGATTTTCTATAATTATCTTTATTTTTTCCAGTTATTTGTAAATGAAGTATCTAATTCCGAATTTTCTTTCTTTACAGGGGTATTGGTCGTGTTATTGGTTTGTGTTTGCTGACAAATGAAACTTGTCCTTTACACTTCAGTCGACCTGTGCTCAAGTATATTCTTGGTCGCGTTGTTCATTGGCATGATTTCGCTTTTTATGACCCCACAACGTTTGAAGGATTGCGTCAGCTTCTTCTTCATACGTCTGACGACTCCTTGAAGGTATTGTTAAGTGTTGTAACACATAATAATAATAATGATTTACTCGATTAAGTCTTTTTGCGATGGTATTTGCTGTCTTCACAAATCAGTCGTTTTGCATAATTTACTATGGAAAAAAACTTTAAAAAAATCGAAGGAATCCAGTCGTTCTACCAATCAGAATCTTTATCTGCCTCTCTGTACTCTCATCAATTAGCTCAACATAGGCGTCAATAACTGATAAACGAAATAGGTTTGAGTTTAAAGGACAACAAACGATTAAATAAGGAAAAGGAAGCGAGAAAGAAATATGAGGTGATTTTATCATCATTGAATGGATACTGAAAACTGATATACGAATGTACAGCTTGAGAATAAATTTGTTGGAATAGTCTTTTTCGCTGATATCTTGTTTTTGATTTCTTGTTGTTTTCTACACTTTTAAAATTTTAGCCTTCGGGAAGTATACCAGATTACAATCTTACTTTCTCACTTATACCTGCTTTGGAAGAAGGCGGTGTGCCGTCCACAGATGTGGCTCGCGACCCTAATGCTTCTCTGTATACCCTGGTTCCCGGTGGAGATGAAATTGAAGTGAATGAAAGTAATGTATTCGAGTTTGTTAAAAAGTATACAGAATTCAAGATGATAACAGCAGTTCAGGAACCATTAGAGGTAAGAAAACTTCAACCATCCCAAAAATAAGAGCAATATGTACTAGACTGATATCAGTGTTATAGTTTACTTGGTTGTGGTTAGCAAAGGAATCCGGGACGCGCGTTTCGTCCTATTTGGGACTCGTAAGCTGAATAAATGTGATATAAACAAACAGCAATACATATTAGTGTTGTCTAGATTCGTTTTAAAGTATGATGTGGATTCAATGTGATTCTGACGTGAAACCATTCGGACATATGCATAATAGTAGTAACAGTGGCACCAACTATCGCAGTTGTGTCACAAGAACCATCTATGAACGTCCAAACTTGTAGTTTGAAGAGAACTAAAGTCATTGGGTAAATAATATCCATGATTGTTTTAACAATCTTACTTTTCGTTCTTTGAGAAATGATAATATCAAAATAGTAACCGATCACTTTGTTTTATACCTTGATTGTTTATGTTTATTTATTCTGGTCTTCAGCAACTTCGACGAGGTGTATTTGATGTACTACCCCGAAATGCATTGGATGGACTGACCGCTGAAGATCTACGTTTACTGCTAAATGGTACCGGCGATATAGATGTTGATGTTTTGTCTGGATATACAACCTTTCTGGACGAGACAGGTACAGGATCGAGCGTGGACTTAACCAAAAGTTGTGATAATACCAACTTAGTGAACCGTTTGAAAAAATGGTTTTGGAGCACTATTCGCAATATGGATATTAAACAACGTCAAGACCTGGTGAGATATTTCATATAAGAATTTCGTCAATTGATTATTTTTATCATCAGCATCTTGATCGCGAGATTTCACAGGAATATCTAGGGCTATGAATGTTGAAATTCATCTTTTGTAGGTTACTAATTACTTCTGCTAATAGAAGGAAGTAAATGTTTACCGTTATGCAACTTTAACGCAGTGCTACCGCCGTCATCGTAAGACTACTGATTCCTATCTTTTACCATTATTTACATATTTTAGCTTTACTTTTGGACGTCAAGCCCAACCCTTCCTGCTAGCGCACAAGGGTTTCAGCCAATGCCATCAGTGACAATAAGACCACCAGACGATCACCATTTACCTTCCGCGAACACTTGTATTTCGCGTCTTTATATACCACTATATTCATCAAGACATATCCTCCGAGACAAGCTGTTGCAGGCAATCGGGACAAAAAGTTTTGGATTTGTATAATTTTCTTCATATCACGATGAAAACGTCTTCCTTCAATGTTATCCCAAATATTGTAAATGAAGAAATACATTATTGGTGAAAGAAAATTTTGTGTATTAAAATTGCTTTATGAATAAATTTATCAGATCTGAAGTTGATACTATATTTTTAAGCATATACGACTATGCTGTAAGCAGGTCACTATCGTTAAAACTGGTGCTGATATTCTGAAACTTTTGTTCAAGTTGATTGAGTTTTTGCGCTAATTCTTCTGCAACTCGTAGTTTTCCTTCTTTGCGTGCAGTCATCAACTGTCCAGCAACTTGATCCATTTCTCTTGCTATATTATCCAAAGACTGAAATGTAGTCTTTTTTCTTTGAAGCTTCCCATTAGTTGTAGTTGTTCCAGTTGGTTGCTGGAAAAGCTTGTTCCATAGTTTTGTAGTTGGATTTACAGCTGAAGCTACATTTTCACAGTTGTGTTTACCCGATACACGTTGCATCAACTGAAAGATCAGGAAAAAAAATGATTCGTATTAACATTTTCCCGAGGTGCTTGATATATCATTTAATTTGAAAGTATACAATAGCGGTAAACACTAGGTGACAGTATCTCTTCCAACCATTCAATTTTAACGTATCTTACAACTTACAACAACATCTTACAACAAGTTTAGGATGAAATGAAAACATTCCTTAACAACCAAATCAAATATATATCCTTTTGAACAAATAGTGGACATCAATAAAATCCTTGGGTTTTACAGCATCGCAAAGCTTCATGAAGGATGGATCGAACTACTATTAGTTACAATTATCTTTGCACATATGTCGTCAGCTTTTTAGGCTTTGAAACCAGATGACTTTTTCATAGGTTATCAGACTATCGTTCTTATCCTGGGATATCAGCTAACTTTATTATGGATATTATTTACAAGCATACTAAAACAAATTCACTTACCTACTCTGCTGCTCAAGTGTACAAAACGAAAAGTTATTTGAGTATCATGAAGGATATGATAAGTCGCGAACTCCGATCTACCTTTTCAAATACTTAAGATCGAATTACAAAGAACGAAGTTTCAAATAAACAGAGAAATTTTTTATTTGGTGGTCACGCTTCTTCTACTTATAAGACTGCGAAACAATACTAAAACCAATGAATAAATTCCAATCATATCTGAAACATAAGGTGACAAATAACGCCTCACTCTGAAATAAGTAACCGTGCGAGGACTGATTTAAACTAGTAATCATCGGCTAAAACACCAAATGAATTTGTTATCGATTTTCAGAGTAGCAGTATTCAGAAACAAATAGCAATTAATTATCAGTCAGATTGTATCGGTAACAGTGTTCAAGAACATAATTAAGTTGTTTCTAAAGATGAAGGGGAGTTACATAATGAAAGATAACATAAAAGTGACCAAAATTGTGAGGAAGTTGACAAGACAAGAACTGTTTTCAAATATACAATAGCCAACTGTCCACTTGGTGAGTAGGAAGTAGATAAGGATGCTGATTTAAGTCGGTTGACAGTTCTACTACCGTGCACAAGTAGTACACTCTTTCAACTGTTCATTTCTACTTTATAGTTTCTAAAAGTGAGTTTCATTGGAGCTAAGCAATCCGAATTGTTAAGATGCTCAAGTGCTGAACTGTTTATAGATATACACTGACTTCTTGATAGGCATGCGGGGTAATTTTAAAAAGAACAGGACTTTTTGAATGCATATATTATTAACTGCCCAGAAGCAATTCAATTTTTAGTCTGTTTATACAAAACATCCAGTAACTGATACTGTTTTACTGTGTGACATTTCTTATAAACAGACTAAGGTGGGATTATGATCTACCACGGTGACCAAGTTTTACTTCTATATCAATCCACAGAAGCAAGTTAACTCGTAGACATGTTGACGTAACAGTTTTACATTGAAACATTTATGGGTCAATTATTGCGCAGCGATGAGCTGAAATTCAAATAACTGTAAAAACGACTCGGATGGTTCCCCATGATCTTTGCAGCACTACTACTACCTCTATTACCAACGGGACATTACAAGTATGATAACAACAACTGATACCCGTTGCACAAGAGGTGGCTATCGTGCCCCAGTGGCTTAAAGGATAATGCTATGGCATTTGAAGTGCTGGGTTCGAGCGTCTATAGAAACAACACTCACTGGGGTGCAGGTACATCCAACTGACGAGTCCCGAGTAGGACGAAACGTGCTTTCTGCATTCTCTGTCATTAAGATAAATGTAACATCAACTCTCATGCTTAAATTTCTCTTCAAATTTCAATTTAATCATTTCACGACTCAAACATAGACTCTTCTCAATGAACCACGGTGCATATCAATTTTCCAGAACTTGTCAGTTTTCCCAGTTCATCTGCAATGGCATAATTTCTGCAGATCTAATTCTTGAAGAAAATGGATGGATTAGATTTCGTTTCCTGCTCGTTGAAGTCAAGCTTGGAAAATATATATGTCGATCATTCCTTTTCGACTTTCTCTGATTATTATATATATATATATATATATATATATATTCCAGTCTTTCCGCCAAATTCAAGAAAGTTGTATCGAACCTGCAACGATCCAAAGCAGCAGGACCTGACAATTTGCCACTCGAAGTGGGAGATTGCTGATCAGATTGACGGAGGTACTAGGCAGTGTATGGAAACCAGAGGTAGTGCAGCCAGACTGGTTTACTTCTCTGATTATTCCGGTCTATAAGAAGGGGGAGAAATCTTGTGACAATCATAGGGGATTCAGTTTGACTAATATCGTGTCCAAGATCCTAGGGTTCAAAGCTATCCAGTGACTAACTGGAGTTCGAGAAAATCAAGCAGTTTTCAGGCCTGAACGAGTGCATCGATCATATTTTCACCCTCCTGGAACACAGGCATACTTACCGGCCAGTTGCTGACACTTGCCATATTTGTTGAACTGAAGGCGTCATTTGACTGTGTTGACCATGAGGTGTATGACTGTGAAGGGCAGTACTGAGAAAGTATATAACGTTAATCAAAGCTCTCTATTCGAACACGCAACCGTCTTAGGGCTTACGGAAAGTCATCAGAATTGACGACAACTAGGTGTCCCCTGTTGCTGTTTAACGTCGTCATAGACGTACTAATGGGCATAACCATAGCTACCTCTGGCCTACTCCCCGGAGGTCATCTGATTGACTCTGAGTATGCAGACGATATTGTCCTGATGGGTGAAGATGTTGACGAAATCCAGGGTCTTGTGAAAGTGTTGAGCAGAAACCTGAGTATATTTGGCATGCGTTTTACTGGCACCTGTCAAATGTAAGAGGATGCTCCACAACTGGTCTGCTGCAAGTACTCCCAGTTTCATGCTAAGGAGTAAATTGATGGGATGTGTCGACCACTTCGCTTACTTAGGGAGTTGTATAGTCCGAAAGAGGTGGTTGCTGACGTAACTCAGCTGGGATTCAGAAAGTCCGTTTGGCACTTTACAACTTATGTTATCTGTGGTGCCAACTGGCGAGACATCCGACTATCCATCAAAGGACGAGTATTCTACGCTGCAGCCCGTTGTGTCCTGTTATACAGCTGTGAGACATGGGCATTTAAAGTAGAAAACATAAAGCGGTTACAGGGTTTTGATCAAAGATGTCTTCGTAGCATTCCTTGCGCTTGGTGTAATTATCATGTGACCAATGTTGATATCAACAAGATGTACTAAGCGAGTTGGTTGACAAGTTTGTGAACCTTAGCCAACAGAGATGGTTCGGACATATACTGCGCATGCCGATCCACCGCCTACCTCGACGTGCCATGCAAGGGGATGCTGAATTATGTTGGAAGGTTTAGGTTAGCCAAACCAAGATCTGGCACCAGTCAACGGAGTCTCTCACTGAGTCGTGTAGAGAGATGTAGACTGCCTGGTTGGAGTCCCCAAGACGAAAAGAACCAGTGGTTGAAGACACTCGGTGACATGGCTGGAAATCGGTCACAATGGCGCAGATGTAGTCACTTCCTGAAATTTAAAATCCTGAATATTAACACTTACCTTTATTATCTCACGCTATATTGTCTACTTGGATATAACTCTCTTTCTTTCCGCTTGTTCTTTGGGTACTACTGTAAAGTGTGGTGAGTACAAGATCACACGTTGATTTTGTCAATCATGGGGCTTCAATGACGATGATCTGGATATAATGATTCTCGCGCAAGAAGGCTTTAATTATTTTCATCAATCCATTTAGCTTCTGAGAAACATATTCATTGTGTTTACTACAGCAAGTGTGATAGAAAACTACAGAAACTCATTGAGTTCCTTCACTTTCACAGGATTTTTGCTCAACAGTGATGAAAGACACCGATCGACTCATTAAGATTGTTTCAAAGAATACATTACTTGCGAAACAAGCCAATACATTACATGCATTATTGTGAGTATCCAGTTTGTAACTGTAATGAAACTAAACATACTTTTAAGACTGTACTGTACAACTTACTTCTGCCAGAGCTCTATCCTCTTCCAACCACCTTGCTGAAAGTTCGTCTTTGCGTTGTAAAGTAAGACTGTCATATTGTTTGAGAGTAGGAAGAGTGCGTAAAGGTGGGAGATAATTTTGAACGAAACTTCTGGCTCTTCGATGAACTGCTAGTGCCAGACGTGCCAATGCTCTGTTGACATAAAATTCGGAACCGGGTTCACTAAATTTCGCAAACTGTCGCCTAAAATTAACCAGTAACCAGGATTTAGTCTTTGAAAGCAGTAAACCATTTCAGATAAGATGTAATACTGATACTTGTATGAACAAGTAGTAGTGTTGAAAGTATATTTAACAATTCACTCATAACTGCTGCTTTTACACTTAAAGGGAAGAGAAACAAGTTTTTGACTCGATTTTGTTAACACACTCCAAGTAAGTCATGCATTCAGGCACAAAGTTGTCAGGCTTTCCTATTCAATGATTGCGTGAGAACACCCTAGCAGCGTCTACGAAGCTAGAAAAATAGTCGAGACAACCAGAATGAACCCTTTTCATGTGAATGACATACTTTCTTAAAATTTTATAATATTTATAAAATCTTGTTTACACCATCAACTAGCATGAGACTACTTCAAAAAAGTATGTTTATGGCTGCCGCGTCTGTCGTAACTACGATTATTATAACCAGTACTTCAGTAATATTGCGGTGATTTAATTGAAACTGCATGGTTCTTTTGAGTTTTTGTTTTGCAGCCGATGGTCGTAGAAGAAACGAAAAATGAACCGACCCGGCAGACCGTCAGGTAAGATGGAATGTTATTTATGGGGTCGACCTTTCTACCCCCCACATCCTCTTCCACTAAGAAGGCAGCATCAGCATGGCACTGCTGGTCATCCAAGGGAAAAACCTTACTGCTGTCATACCCCATCCAGCTTCGCCCTCCGACCCCCATCATAGTGTAGTAATTTACACCACAATGGTAACTGCTTTTCGTCTAACCACTAGCCAATAGACCTTTCTAATATGGTAGAACCTCGATGGAATACGTATTCTACCAGCATAGCTCGTTGAGTCATTGTGATATGCAAACCCGACCACCATATCAAGATAGCAGCTATCGGTGATGTTGACAAGATGCAATCTTCAGGACACTTTCAGTGGCAATTTAAGAATGCTTGCGACGCGTTTCTCACCACCCAAATGCAAGCTGTTGCTCCACGATTAGTCTTCAACGGTGCCTCGGCTAAAAATAGAGTGTAGTGGTTGAGCGCGTTGACCAATTCAATTCCCTGGGAAGTGAGATCAGCCCTGGTGGCTCAGTGGCCGACGAAATCTCTGCACGAATACAATACACTCTGCTCGCTTTTCCAACTTACCCCACCTGTCGTGCCACCGTGATATCCAATTGTCTACTAACCGTCCCCTGTACTGCACGGCAGTCCGCTCTGTTCTACTCTGTGCCTGTGAAACATGCTCATTCAAGGTGGAAGACATGAGACAGCTTCAGGTGTTTGACCACAGTTGCCTTCGTAGTATACACCACACCGTATTCCGTGGTGTCACCACTGAGTAACGCACAAGTCAGGTGTACAGTTTTAGGGAGAAGACGTAAGTCAGTTGACACAGTCGTGAACTGAAATAGTTGGGACACGTGTTACGTATACCTAGTCACCGATCGCCTCGTCACACAATGTTGGCCGAAGTAGCTTCAGACTAGGCAAGTGCTCGAGGCAGCATCAATGTATGAAGTCTTTGACTGTTGGTTTGAGTGAGCCATGTGGGGAGGGCGATGTAAACTAACCGGTTAGGGTCCGCAGGACAAGAGAAACCAGTGGTTGGAGACTCTAGGCGATATACCTCAGAACAGATGTCAGTGGCGCAGATGTATACACACATTATCCTCATCATAACATTATATCGAATCTCACCATTTTCTCTCTTTTAGTGTTTTATATTTCTTTCGACTGAATTTTCTTTCTTCATCTTGCACTAAACTGCCTTTTTACTTGATGTACTGATATGAGGTGTGGTAACTCGGACTGTTACGCAGTAATACCTGATCTTATGTTGATCTAGGTGGATTTATTTGAAACACGAACTCTGTACAAAATGCTTCACAAGATGATGTAACCGAACAAAAGTGAGAACAAGCAAATACTTTATAGTGGTTTCACCCGTATTTTGTAGTATTTTGATTCGCATGTATGCTAACGAAAGGATATTTAGTTGAATGTAATACATTAAAATCCTTCTACTCGAACATCTATATTCGCATAAAACCTTATCAGTAGTTTTTGATCTGTGTTTTAACTCAACTGAAACAGGCTTATCAAAGCAAACAGCTAGAATGTTATGATATAATAGTTTATTTAAAGCTTTATCTTAGTCTTCATGTACATTCTACTTTAGTTCTTTTATTAAATGTGAAAGATGTGATTGTGATTCACTTCTGACAGACTGACGGCTAGTTAAGAACGTCATGATAACTCTAAATTTGATGATACTCATGCCATATGAAAAGACCTATTCTCAGAAACGTCTATAAAAAAAAGTGAATGAAAACTGGGTACATTAACGATTCCCATACTATTGGCTAGTCGATATGCTTGTATTATTATTTGTCCCTTGGATTCCTAGTAGAGCCTAGGGTTTCACTAGCAAGTCTCCATTTCACTCTGTTCTCTGCAGTATTTTCAACCTGGCTCCACGACTACCCACAAGCTTTCATTCTTCCTCACATGATCTCCTCCATATCACACTCAGCTGCGATGCCCAACTCGTCGTTTCCCCTTTGGATTCCACTTGAGGGTGTGGCCTGATGCGTGATGTCTCCAATCCATCTCCACTTTCTTCTGTATATTTGTTGGGCGATGGGTTCTTGGTTGGTTTGTTGCCAGGCAAGAGATCCTTGTTGCTTATGCTTTCTGGTCATCTGATCGCCATCTTTAGTATCGAGCGTAGGCATTATTGTTATTCTTTACTAGCAACTATATGAAGTGATTGATGAACAGACGGTGTTTAATGCGTTTCTTACTTCATTCCATTTCTTCACAACTTTGTAGTTTTACCTTAGTTCCATGTTACTATCACTCAATGATACCATTCATATTTTGACGCTTTACGCAATTTGTAGGTATTAAGGATTTGACTACAACAACATATTTTTCTCACCTCTTCGAATTTCTGAGTTATTTTATTATTTCCAGTTATCGGTTGTATTTCATCATCCTTTAACCGTTTCATGTAGTACATGTATTACTTTCAGAACCTTATAGTTTCTTCATATACAATATAAATAGTTTGAGAAAGCAACGTACATTTCATCTTCACAATCTCCTTCGGTTAACCGTTAGTCAAAACTTTGTGTTGCTTACCTACTTCTAGTGTGCTGTAACACTGTCTTTTGTTTGAATTACTACAAGGATACAATTTGATGATGTAACAAATAGCTGAATTCAACTTGAGTTTTGCACCTCTTTTCTATCCTAATTACAAGCTATCAATAGAATGCTGCACTTTAAAATAAATTCTTTCTTTTTACTTGTAAATTCTGATGCGTTATTGGTATGTTTAGAATGAAATTGTAGCGAACTTTCAATATTTATGAACCAAATATCAGGTTTTCAAGAGCAAGTTACATAAAAGATTCAAAGTGATATCAGTTAATGTCTCTAGTTAGAAGCCCAATTGATAGAGGAGAGGAAGATGGTAAAGCAGAAGATAAACCAGTACAGTGCAGGGATGAACTATGAAAAAAGGAACTGAATATAACCTACAAAAAAACTATACTGGACAAAGAAGTGGAGAAGAGTGCGCAGAAAGACATAAGACACTTCCACGACACATTTGCAAATGAAACAGAACAGGCTGCAGGTAGGAGAGACAGAGATCTGACAACACTATCTCAAATAACCAGGTTACTGTCTTGGAGGCGAGAGATCAACATAAATGAAACCAATGAGAGATAGTGAAGGAAACCTAGTTAGCAAAGAGGAGGAACAAAGGAAACGATGGATTTACCACTTCAAAAAACTCTTGAACCAACCACCACCTGCAAATCGTCTGAAAATACCACCAGTAACCGCAGAACTACCACCAATGAACACAAGTCCTCTGACAAAACCAGAAGTGATGTCCTGAACGCCATAAATTTTCTACAATCCGGGAAAGCAGCAGGACCACATGGAATCCCGTCAGAAGCACTGAAAACAGACGCAGCAACAACAGTGGACATGCTCACACCACTGTTGCAGAAGGTGTGGGAGGAAGGAAAGGTACCTGCAGATTGATTGGGATAAGGATTACCTTGTCAAAGTCCCGAAGAGAGGAGACCTAAGTCTTAGTAAGAAGTGGAGAGATATCATGCTGTTGTCCCTGTCCACCCAAGAAAAATCCTATGCCGCATCATCCTGGAGAGACTAAAGGATGCTCTGGATTCAAAATCACGACAGGAACAATCTGGATAGCTTCAAGAAGAACAAATCATGTGCGGATCAAACTGCATTGCTACGTTACGTATCATCATAGAACAGAGTATAGAATAGCAGTCAACCTCAACTTCATCGACTTTGAAAAGGCCTTCGACAGCGTTGACCGAGAAGTAATTTGGCAGGCAACTGCTTCAACACTACGGTTTTGGTGCCACAAACCTTTATCAACCCATTCAACAACTATATGAAGACGGCACATGCCGAGTGATTTACAATGGAAAACTGAGTGATGCCTTTGAAGTGGAAGTGAAGATGGGGGTAAGACAAGGCTGCCACCTCTTATCACCGATGGTCTTCCTGATTGTGGTCGAGTGGACTGGCGAGTGAGAAGATGGGTATACGCTGGCTGGACCGATGAAAAAAACCTAGTAGATTTGGATTTCGCCCACGATGATGATTGATGTCTAATGTCCTGTCGCACAAACTCGAAGATCTGCAGGCAAAAGGCAACAAGTTGACAGAAGAGGTGAGGCAGCGAAGATGGGACTTTCTTCAGGTGAATGTAGAGAAGACAGTGGTGAAGAAGATACCTAACCAACAATAACAACAACAACAAGCACCAATCATCATCAACGGGAGAAACGTAAAGGAAGTAGCCTCCTTCACCTATCTAGGAAGCACTGTTTCAACTACAGGCGGCACAGATGAGGATGCCAAAGCCAAAATCAAAAAAGCAAGACAGGCCTTCACTAACCTGAAACCAGTGTGGAGATCTACTGCACTCAGCACGAAGCGTGAACAAGATCCGGATTTTCAACACCAACGTCAAGTAAGTGCTTCTCTATGGTTCAGAAACTTGGTGTATCACGAAAAGCATTTCCAACAAACTACAGACAATCATCAACAGCTGGCTATGCTCGATACTGAAAGAAAGAATAAGCAACAAGGATCTCTTGCCTGGCAACAAACCAACCAAGAACCCATCGCCCAACAAATATACAGAGGAAAGTGGAGATGGATTGGAGACATCACGCATCAGGCCACGCCCTCAAGTGGAATCCAAAGGGGAAACGACGAGTTGGGCGTCACAGCTGAGTGTGATATGGAGGAGATCATGTGAGGAAGAGATGAAAGCTTGTGGGTAGTCGTGGAGCCAGGTTGAAAATACTGCAGAGAACAGAGTGAAATGGAGACTTGCTAGTGAAACCCTAGGTTCCACTAGGAATCCAAGGGATAAATAATAATAATAATAACAATAATATGGAAGCCCAAATTTCAACATGTACTTAACTTACTTTGAGCGTTTTTTCATAAGTTTAAAAAAGTTTACTTTATAGTCTATCAGGGTGAAGATATCAAAATAGTGGTTCTTTTTAACATGCTTGTTTAAAAGTTAAGCCGCTTAGATTTCTGTTTTATTACCGATTACGCCATGAAGAAGTTATCAGGATGCTACAGATTTTCTCATCATCATCATTATCAACATAGGACCAGGCATTACTGCGTAACGGTCCGAGTTGCCACACCTCACGTCAGTTCATCAAGTAGAAAGGTAGTGAGGTGAAGGATGAAGATAAGAGAATGCAGTCAAAAGAAATATAAAGTACGAGAAGAAAGAAAAGAGGAGTGACAAAATGGTGAGATTCGGTATAGCGTTGTTAAGATGAGGGATAATGTGTGTATACATCTGCGCCACTGACATCGGTTCTCAGCCATATCACCTAGGGTCTCCAACCACTGGTTCCTCTTGTCCCGAGGACCCCAACCACCTAGTCTGCATCGCTCTACATGGTTTAAACCAACAGTCAGAGACTTCATACATTGGTGCCATGTTTTAGTCTGGCCACCTCGGGCCTTCTTCCAGCCTAGACCCACCTCAGCCAACATTGTGTGACGAGGCAATCGGTGACTAGGCATACGTAGTACGTGTCCCAACCATCTCAGTCGATGAAGGTTCACAACCTCGTCACCTAGAGTGTAGAGTTTTAGGGAGAAGAGGTAAGTGGTACTCACTGAAGAAACACTCGAGTTGGTAGATACCTAAAGCAAAGTATTCGTTACTATACACGTTTTTATCAGAATAAAAATATCAATCCATCATGAACGAGATGTGTTCTGTAAAGCTTACATACATATTATGTCTCCGCAGCGTTGTCCCAGGATGGTGGAATTACTGTGTGAGAAATGTCGAGGCTAGGCGGAGGGTATTAAACAAGTCAGTCGATGATGTTGTAAACCTTTACCACATACGATCACTTGGAAATGTGTTTCACATGTTAAGGCACGACCTACATTACCATATAGTGTGAAGTGAAGGTTTAGATTGGAAGAGGGATCAACGTGGTCAGACAAAAATGTGGCACTAGACTATGAAGTTTCTGACTATGAGTATGAACCGTGTAGACTGCCTGGTTTGTATCCCTGAGACAATCAGAATTAATGGTTAGAGAACCTTGGTGGCATGGCTGAAAAACGGTCAGAATGGTGCAGGTGTGTACTAATACCCTGGGGGCTTTTATCGGCATCATGTTTACCATCGATAATGACGTGAAAACAACAAAATCTTTGAGCACATTTTAATGTTTCCAAATTTAAAGCTAGCTTGTAATGAACCGTCAATTACAAATGATGAAAATGATAGTAGGATCTCTAAAGAAGAAAATCGAATAACGTTTAAATGTTTCATAAATAAGCTAACTTACCCAAGTAACTCAATCTTCTGTAATGCCTGTAACAGATCAGAATGCATAGATCTTGCAGACTCAAGTGCATACTTTTGTTCACCAGAGCTAGTGGATAACAAAAATAAGGAGAGAATAAGAAACAAATTCGAATCTTATACTCAGACCATCTACTTTAAAAGCAAACTAATATCTTTACAACCATAAAAATTATTTATATGAACAAAGCTTGTTTTAAAGCATAAAATGAATTCATATTAACATATGGCATCTCATCTTCATGAATAGCCTAAAATTACGGTGAATGACGAAAATAAATCCACATTATGTATATTTTAACTGTTGATAACAGAATGATCATCCCAAAGTTACAAAAAACTATTCGATAAAATCTGTGTCAATTCATCAATAATTAGATTGAATAAAATAAAAATTCCATAGGACAAAGAGCACATTTCGAAATGGTTGTAAAAACGAATCGTACAATCTCATTGATTCAGATAATGGATGTCCAACTTCGTCTGTAGCTAAACATATAGTTGTAATGTTAGGCAAGTTACAAAACCATTTTAAGGTATATACTTGAGTTTGTAAAAGTGCTAAGTGTAAAGAGATTTAGACCTCTTTAATGTACTCAAAAACAATGTCTTGTTAATGTAAACTTTCCTTCCTCTGATTCATTGTTATATCGAATTATCATTGGTGGCTAGTAGAGAAATATAGAATGTGTGTTTTGTCCCATTAAGGACTCGTCAGCTAGATATGCCTGCACCTCAGCGAGTTGTGTTGTTCTCCCTGAGACTCGAACCCACTAGCCATCGCCTCAAAAGTCAAAGCGTTATCCACTAGGTGACTGAGGTACGACAGCCACCTCTTGTCCAATGGGTACTAGTCGCTATTATTTTATGATACTTGTAATTCACCGTTTTTATACTAGATAGAACTAATCAACATCTGATGGCATATGAACCTCTATATGGATGCTTCGGTATTGTCTAAAAATATTCACTTTTATAATTTGTTTACTTCTGGTTAACAGTGGGACCCAGGGAGTGCGTCTCGTCCAATTTGGGATTCGTCAGTTGGATATACTTGCACCCACTGAGTCGAATCCCATCTTTAAAAATTAACTTTTATTTACTACCTGAAGGTTGTAAATTTCTGGCTCGTTTTTTTAAATATTTTACATAAATATCGCACGGTAACCAATTTTTATTTCACTCAACCTAATTACTTATGAAGTAACAATGATTTTCATTAACAATTTGTTTGGTTAGATTTTTTGTATTCAGTAGATTTCCATCATCAACAGTTAGAACTTGTAGATTTATTTCCTTCATAGCTTAATAGTGTTTGGAAAGATGAGAAGATAGGGAATAACAGGGATTTATCTTATTCCGTAAATGTTTGTCTTTTTTGCTTTGTTTAAACTTATCAAGAGAATCAAACGTCTGATATAAGAAAAAAATTTCATCAAAAGTTAATATATTGAAAATGAAAGAACGTTTCAGTGATTTACACTGAACTTGATAATGGTTATAAGTTACATTTTATGTTTTCAACGAGTATAAACCGTTTCGATTCAGACATCAAGGTTATACAGTAAATTACTGAACTATAGTGAATATTTTTTGTGCTGCACTCCAAAAAACTACTGTAATAGACTATACACTAGTAGTTTTTCAATAACATATTGTCAGGGCCTTTAAAACCACCAACATTGTATTGACCATTTTAAGAAGTACACTTATCATAACTTCCCTACTTTCCAAATTAAAATTCCCCTTACAGTGTAATTGATGAATGATTTATTAACAAATGTAATCAGGAGTTCACTGTTTTTGCTTGCATAAAACGCGTCTTATAGTCATGCGAAAACAGCCTAAACTGTAACTTTATCCATAGACTGTTTTTAAAATTTCAATGTTTTTGGTGGAGATGGAGGATTATACAACGGGAAGTAAAGAAATACTTTGAATTCCGACAAGCAACTACCTAATAGTCACAGACTTCCTCAACTGACTTATCTCCTTTCTTGAAGACTTAACTTTTTAAAAGTTTCATTGTAAACAACTGTGACTGGAAATCCTTGAGTACGGCTGACATACATTTGGAAATGGAAGATCATCTTCAGAAAGTCAAACACTATTCCTTACTAGTATCACCCTTAAAAATAGTAATATTGACAAAGAGATGGGACAACATCAGTAGAAATAATTGAATTGTATTCTGCATACACTCGCATCTAGGTGCGATTTAAGTATATCATATTTCTATAGGAGTAAAACTTGGGCACTGTAGTCGATTGTAATTCCATTTTAGTCTGTCTACTAGAAATATCACACAGTGAAACAGCACCATTTACTGGATAACCTTTCGGACACAATTTATTGTCCATATTCATATCACGTAACTCCACAACTTCCAGATAGACTATATATATTCCTAATTTTCTCTCCTTCTCTGTGATGACAAGGGTAGTAGAATTTTCCATATATCTGGGACAGGTGCAGAATCATTTCGATTGCATGTGTTCGGTGTTGATTCGATAGAGAAAGATTCGGTTATCGATCTCTCCCTCCAACCAAGTTAGTTTTCAACACTGTCGCCGTGTCCCACCGTACCGTGTGATTGTGTGTCATCGCATGCAGAGCTATAACCGAGCCTTTCTTCAGATTTCTTATCTTATTAGGAAGGATCTACAAATCTTGATTTAGCTAAGTTTTTGTGCTCTGTTATTCTAATCGACCTTGGTCGACCACTTTGACCTATATATTTGGATTAAAGTGGCATTTAAACCAACAAGCTCTCTTACAAACAAACTTTGTAGATTAAAAAATCCTATCGATGTAGTTCGGCAAAATAATCTGGTTTTGAAACAGTTAGTCCCTTTTATGAATTCGGATAATGTAATTAGAAGACAAAGATTATCTGAGAAATGTGATGTATCTGGTTTACCAAATCTTTTGCAATGATTGCGAGGTCAAATACATAGGTCAAAGTAGTCGACCAAGGTCGATTAGAATAACAGAGAATAACAGAGAAACCTCTGTCTGCGTTCACCCTCGGAGGTGAGCGTTGAAAGTAGTCGAAAAGTTCGTGTATCTGGGTAGTTTTGTGTGCCTGCGCAGGTGTGTGATGAAGTTTCCAATTGCATATCGAAAGCCAGAGTGTCATACGTCACTATGGACTACTTCTGGCTGAGTATATGTGACGATTCTATGTGTTCCATCATCGCTGTCTTCGTAGGAATGCTCGTTTACGATCCCAACGTCATGTGAGTAATCCTGAAGTACGATAGCCTGTGCATGAGCATGACAGACACAATCATACAATACGTGAAGTCATCTCAAAACACCAGATTCCGTGGCTTGGACATTTGTTACGCATGTCGATCGAACAACTTCCACGCCGTTCATTAATTCCTAACCATGAGACAGGATGGAAGAAGCGGAAGTTTGGTAAGTGTATCACGCGGCGCCACGGGATGAACGATAGTTACAGTTGCGAACCTCACATTATTTTGAGGTATTATAAATTGACATTAATCACCTTTGCTCGCACCACTGTACGAGTGACCCCCTGTCAGCATACCATAACTTTAAAAGTAACCATCTCAACCAATTCATTTCGATGGATTCTTTACATCTGGCTAGCCAAACCTTCATTTCAACTGAGAAACTACTGTCGGAATACTTTTTGCCACCCCAACAAAGCACTAAGTTAACGCTGTCATTGTAATCATAATGATCTGTTTGAAAATTTGTTCGCTTATTGGTTAGTTCCCCTTGTTGTTCATGTTATCAAGTATCGTAACACGAACTTACATCTTAAAACCGTTCAAATCCTAAATTCATACTAGTCATACCCTAACATATATTGGTTAATTTTAGCGTCAAGTTTCTTTGACATGATTCTCACCAGTTGATAATCAGACAAACCTTTGTAGTGATCTCATCCCTGCGTACACTTTATGGCCAATCCATTTGATGACACAATCTTAGAAGGATTTATCTGCCCGAAATGCATGCTCACATTTGGTACACCTGATCTACTGAGCCATCATTTCAATTTAGATCATCAAAACTCGAGTATTCCAGAGAACGAAGGTTTGCATTATTGTGACTATGCTAGCTTTCAGTAGAAATTATATCAACAACAAAATCGGTATTCAGAACACAATCTAATACACATATTTCGTTTGCCTTCTATGATCGGAAGGATGATACTCAATCAATTGGTGAGTTACCTTGAAAATTTATTTTGAAATTTAGGCATTTGTCAGTCGCTGACGTCAAATTTCATGGAATTACGAAAATGTCATGTAAATCGTAACTCAGTAGAAACAAATAGCTTGCTAATACGTCTAGAAAAATTAATTGACTTGGGTGATGCACATGAAAGTGATAGAAAAGGTAATCTTCACTCATCCACTTGGTTTACTTTTAGCACTTGAGCAAACCATTGTGCCTTGGATTGATGCAAAGATCGATCTTTGTCCATGCTGCGGCAAGGCGTTTGGTCTAGGTGCTGAGATGGCTTATCCAGATGAAGACGACAATTACGTGGATCCTTCAAAAAATAGTATGACTGATATTTCCAAATCTTGGCTTAGCAAAACTAATGTCACTCGTTTGACAAATGCCATATTGGACTATAATCCTGTTTATCGTCGAAGACATCACTGTCGTCTTTGCGGATCTATTTTGTGTGCTGATTGCAGTTATTTTGTGTCTGTACATAATGCTCGTAGTCTTCTAAATGCTCTTAATGGGAAGGATTTAGATCTATTCCCAGTTTCTACCAACACAAACGATGCAAGCAATGAGCCCGATTTCTCCATTCAGTCAGAAGATATGTTTCGAAATGGAAATACTCCTAGTTCTGAAAGAGGTAAGTGATTTCATCCTGGCTATAGCAAGTGGATGATGACAAATACTTTGTACCCTTGTAATGATGTTTACAACAATAATCTGTTGATCCAAATTCACTACATGTTTTGCAACTGAGACTTTGATAGCATTTGCCTACCCGTTTTCTCTAGCTATACAACACTATGTTATTCACCTTTTACCAAAGAATTTTATTTATCGGTTTGACTAGTTTGTGGTTTATTTAATTGTTCATTGGTATTGGTATAAATAATCTTCAATTTAGCCAAGTTTAGATGTGCGACAAACCACGTAGTACTTCCGTAGGGGCTACTGGACCTGGTGGTTGCAACCCGTTGGTGAGACGGAATCAGCTGAAACACCTGACAACAGCCGAGTGCTGTTTTAAATTATCCGAGTCATTGATACCAAAAATCCTGATTTCAGTCAGTGAGGCAGATGATATGCTAGTCAATGGTTTTCATAGGCATCTGGAACGCTAGGTACATTCCTTCAGAAAGCAACCGTGGTGACCTAGTGCACTAGAAGTTTAAACCGAAGTCTCTTGTTTTCCATGGTCAGTTGGTCATTCACCTGACGAAGCAGAAGTCTAAAAGAAAGTTCTGGTGTCGTGAGATGACTTATTTCCAGCCCTTCTTAAGAATAGGGACGAAAATGTAGTCTGAAAATTGTTTGAAAATGTTCAACACATTAAGAGTGACTCATCATTCCACAATGATGCCATTGTTGTACCCATCTCTGAAAAGGGTGTGCGTAACTTGTATGACAATCGTGCGGTATCAGTCCTGTCGGAAATATTGCCTGCTGTCATACTTTGCAAATGCATAAGAAGCTAGTTCGCGAGGACGAAGTCTGATTTTTTTCAGATCATGGATGATCTCAGCATATATTCACTCTGTGTCGAATACTCAAATACCATCAACCTTACTGAAATCCAGTGGCTATTGTCTTTCTTGATATTCCACCTTCTATTCGTTTGATAGGATTGTGCTCTAGAATTATCCATAAGACAGATGTCCATTCAAAGTTCATAATCATCCTAAGATCCGCGTGTCACAACGCCTAAAACAGAGTGAAGTCATACATCCTCCTCTGTCCACTCTTCCAACTCAACAATGGGGTCAAACAACACTGTCGATTTTGTCATTCCTCTTTATTTACTATCGACAACACTCTCAAAACAGATTTTAAGGATGTGCTAAATGATGCTGTAGAACTGTAATCGTGATAAGAACTTCGAGACTTGATTATATAGACGACATCATCTTCATCTCTGATGAAATACCAGCTACTCAAATCCAATTTAATCAGTTGATGATTCGCACCCATATGATATGGCTGTTTTGTGTGCGGTTTGCACCACTGAAGTGAAAAATATTCCTGTTAAATTGACAGCAACGTACGCTCCACTCACCCTTGGTGGTAAACTGTTGGATGTTGTCGAAGAGTTTGTGCACCTGGACAGTTAGTTGTGTGAGTGCTCGTGGCGGTGTGACTGATGAGATTTTCAACAGTATATCACTAGTCAAAATGACACTGATCCACCCTTAGCACATTCATCTTGTTGTACGAGGTTGTGTATACACGGCATTGGTACAAGTGGTTTTCACTTTACACCTGTCGAACCTGACCTCTTCGAACTGAAGATGTCTGACAGTTGTGTGTTCCCGATCACTTTTGTCACTCACCGTGGGATCGCTCGCATCCAGTGCAAACATCATGTAAATGATTCTGAGATGAGTCGGTACATTCTCGGATGTGATTGAGGTTTCCACTCAATGAGTGTGGTCATCGTGAGACACTGGTTTAAGATGCATGCAAACGGGTTAGGAATGTCATCCGAACAGCTTCCACTCCACTCACTGTTTCTTCGCCTTGAGTATGGTTGACAGAATCGAAGAGATGGTCAATGTAGGATGTGGTGCTATGGGATGGAGGGAAGTTTTGTTGAGTGGGTATGTGTTGGTTTTTCTGTGAGTAACTGGATGATGTTGGAAAGACCATGTAACGCAGCGAGTGTCTTGAGGTGATAGTGATATGTATCACAATCGAAATCAGTGATGATTATGTTGCAGTTTTCTTGTTTCTTGTGCCAACGAAAAGTAAAATGAAGGTAATGAACGCTTTTTAGAATGGATGTTTGAGACTGCTTTTCTAACAACTTATTGCTGTTTTGTGTTCGCATTTTTCCTCTCATTTTTGTTTCTTCGTTTTGTTTTATTACTTTGTATGTTGCATCCATTGGTACTCATTCCGTACTAAGTTGTGCTTCAATTGAAAATAATAATAGTTTATGACAGTAGAAATCAGTATTTTTAAACTTTTGATCGTCTAACCTGAAATCCACCACTGAAAGACATCTTATAAAAGTAATTCTTTAACATCCTTGTGACCATATATCACTTGTTGACACCGAATTGTACCGAATAGCCTTGAACATGATATTAGAATATCATCATTCAATAAGTCCTCGTAACACTTAACTTGTTACCGTAATTGCTACTATAGTTGCATTTCAGATCTCACTAATTTAGACCACATGTTTCAGCTGATATCAAGGTAATTTATGTCATTAAACTGCTGCTTGAGTTAGTTTTTAGAAAAGGAACAGTATGGTTCATCAGTTTCGCTGATATTAAAAAAAAACCAATAAAAAATTTTCAGGATACAATAATTGGCACTGATATTCCCTACTAGTTAGAAATAGAGATACACAGGGAAAGCCCTAACAAAATGAAATTTTGCACTGATGTTCAATGGTTCAAGTTATATTTTTTTATAATTTAAAACTCACTTTAAACTTTCAGCAATTATACTATACGAAGGAAGCCATTCATGAACTTTTTGCATCAATTCCTTGAACTCCTAATGTAAAAAGACGAAAAACAAATTTTTACTAAAATAGTCATTTCACAAGTTCTACAAAACAAGTCAACAAGGTTTAAAATTCTAAAATTGGATAGTGACTGTTCACAACTAACATACATTTATGCAAAAAGGCCATAATTATCCATCAACATAAGTTTTGATGACTGACATATTTTTTGCAATACTTTACAAGAGGAACGTATACAGATATACCTTATCATGTTGTGAACTAGGTTAGAAGAAGTACATATGACATGATGATGATGATAAGCAAAGGATATGAGGAAGATTAAACATAACCTTTTGTTGATGTACTTGTAATGCTTCGTTGTTTCGCTCGATCGAACTGTTCAACCTCTGTTAGCATATGGGCTCGTATGCATATGCCTCGATATTGACCAAATATTTGTTACGGTAATTTACTTGGTCGTGGCTAGCAGAAGAATCAAGGATATACGTCTTGTCATATTTGAGACGCGTCAGTTGGGTGTACCTGAACTTCAGTGAGTGATGTTGTTCCCACTAAGACTCGAACCTAGAACCCATCGCTTCAAACGTCAAGGTGTTATCCACAAGGACACTGAAGCACGATATCTACATCTTGTAAAATGGGTGTTAGTTGTAAATTTTTGTTGATGTAATAGTGATTCTCCGTTGTTTTACCAGATCGAACTCTTCGACGAATTCCGAATAGAACAAAACCCATATCCTGGACTCTTCTGCTAGACACGACGATGTAAATTACCAAAGATGTAACAGTTTATTTCCAATCAAGACTCATCATCATCATCATCTTCAATATCAACATAAAACCAGGCATTACTGCGTAACAGTCCGAGTTGCCACACCTCATATCAGTACATCAAGTAAAAAGGCAGTTTAGTGCAAGATGAAGAGAGAAAATTCAGTCGAAAGAAATATAAAACACTAAAAGAGAGAAAATGGTGAGATTCGATATAATGTTATGATGAGGATAATGTGTGTATACATCTGCACCACTGACATCTGTTCTGAGGCATATCGCCTAGAGTCTCCAACCACTGGTTTCTCTTGTCCTGCGGACCCTAACCGGTTAGTTTACATCGCCCTCCCCACATGGTTCACTCAAACCAACAGTCAAAGACTTCATACATTGATGCTGCCTCGAGCACTTGCCTAGTCTGAAGCTACTTCGGCCAACATTGTGTGACGAGGCGATCGGTGACTAGGTATACGTAACACGTGTCCCAACTATCTCAGTTCACGACTGTGTCAACTGACAAAAGACTAATAACATTCATAAGAAGTTTCATAAAATCCCTGTCACAGATGAAACCCACTTAGCTCTAAGTAGTCAGACATATCAGTTACTTGGGAAGTAGGATCAACCCTGGTGGCTCAGTGGCCGACGAAATCTCTGCACGAATACAATACACTCTGCTCGCTTTTCCAACTTACCCCACCTGTCATGCCACCGTGATATCCGATTGTCTACTAACCGTCCCCTGTACTGCACGGCAGTCCGCTCTGTTCTACTCTGTGCCTGTGAAACATGGTCATTCAAGGTAGAAGACATGAGACAGCTTCAGGTGTTTGACCACAGTTGCCTTCGTAGTATACACCACACCGTATTCCGTGGTGTCACCACCTGAGTAACGCATAAGTCAGGTGTACAGTTTTAGGGACAAGACGTAAGTCAGTTGACACAGTCGTGAACTGAAATAGTTGGGACACGTGTTACGTATACCTAGTCACCGATCGCCTCGTCACACAATGTTGGCCGAAGTAGCTTCAGACTAGGCAAGTGCTCGAGGCAGCATCAATGTATGAAGTCTTTGACTGTTGGTTTGAGTGAACCATGTGGGGAGGGCGATGTAAACTAACCGGTTAGGGTCCGCAGGACAAGAGAAACCAGTGGTTGGAGACTCTAGGCGATATGCCTCAGAACAGATGTCAGTGGCGCAGATGTATACACACATTATCCTCATCATAACATTATATCGAATCTCACCATTTTCTCTCTTTTAGTGTTTTATATTTCTTTCGACTGGATTTTCTTTCTTCATCTTGCACTAAACTGCCTTTTTACTTGATGTACTGATATGAGGTGTGGCAACTCGTACCGTTACGCAGTAATACCTGATCCTATGTTGATATTGAAGATGATGATGAAAAGATATATCAACTTGAGAAACTTAAAAGTAGTATCTAACATCGTGAAGAAAACAACACAATCACACAGTTATGCTTTGTCTCAAATGCAGGATAAGATGATATGGAACAATAATTCTCAAAATTTTAAGATTTTATCTGAACAAAAGTTTATGTTTACGTCTGGGTTTTGTGGAACCCAAACAGTAAATGATATACATCTAGTGTGCATTTTTGATAAAGCGTTCAGCCATCCCACTTGAATGAAACTACTATAGTAGCAGAATGGTCCTTTATCTCAATTACAGACTTAGAAACTCGTGATTATTCGATTGTTGATCGCAATCGATAGCAGCAATTCCTCACAAACAAGTGACGACATGATCAGAATTTTCCAGTACTTTAAATGTGAAAAGGCTGTCTTCCAATTAGACAGCGTGGACGGACGTAAAAGGTTTTTCTAGCTGAGCTTGAACACTACATTCATCAATCGCATGGATAGGCCTACTTAAACCAATGCGAACTGGCGTTTCATTATTACCATCATTATCACACTTATCAGTATCGCTGAATAAATTGTCATCCACCCGTAAAGGCGTCAACTTCGGTCTATCACAATACAGATTTATATTGCGTTAAGAAACAGTCGTTCTGGTTTTGTATAAAGTTCAGCAAGAAAAATTTGTGCGATGATATGAGATAAATGATCTCTGAAATGCAGACAGACAAAATCCACGTAAAACCTCATACACAGGTGTATCGGCTCAACTTGCCACACTTTACAGTAGAATACAAAGAATGAAAATGATATCAAAGTAGGGGAAGTTGTGTGAGAGAACAAACAATTTGAAGATAATGGTTAGTTTGAATATTCAAGCTTTAGATTATGTCAGAGAGAGAAAACATCTACGCCACTGCGACCGATTTCAGCCATGTGACCAAAAGTTCTCAGCCACTGACTCCTATCGTCTAGCCAACACCGACCAGGGAGTCTGCATATGCACGACTAAGACCAACAGTCACGATCTACATCAACTGGTGTCACATCTTGGCCTGGCCACCCTCAACCCTTTTGAAACCTAATCCAACTTTCTTCAGCACGGCGTATCGAGGTAGGGGGTGGGTCGGCATGTGCGGTACATGTCCAAGCCATCTCAGTCGACTAACATTCACAATCTCATATTGTAGAAGTTAGGTATAGCTATACTCATAGCATGATATCATCATATTGGATTGCCGAATAAAACGGAAACAAGATGGGAGTTTAGACACTAGTGTCTACAGAAAACCTTCACATTCAAACCGTTAATTAGACTTCAAATCGTCTCACCCGACGTCAGTTAAAGTTGGCCCATTAAAGTGTCTAAGTAACAGGGCCAAAAACTTACTAGTAAAACAGATCTAAAACAAGAAACCAGATGTATTGAAGACACCTTAACCATCAACAATTACCCTCCCAAATTAATTGATAAACTCCTTAGGAATCGTACAAAAAATATCAGTAATACAGTTATTAATGGTAGTAATAGTAGTGGTAATAACAGCAAGAATAATAGTAATAAGTGTTGATAATGATGTCAATAATAGTAGCGGCAATACTGTGAAGAGAGAATTCAAAACCTCTACAGTATTAATATAAGAGTAAAACTTGGGCACTGTAGTCGATTGTGATTCCATTTTAGTCTGTCTATTAGAAATATCACACAGTGAAACAGCATCATTTACTGGATAACCTTTCGCACACAATTTATTGTCCATATTCATATCACGTAACTCCACAACTTCCAGATATATTCCTAATTTTCTCTCCTTCTCTGTGATGACAAGGGTAGTAGAATTCTCCATATATCTGGGAGAAGTGCAGAATCATTTCTATTAGTGCATGTATTTGATGTTGATTCGACAAACGAAGATTCGGTTATCAATCTCTCCCTCCACCCAACTAAGTTTTCAACAAAGAAGGCGCCTCAAAAACACTACTTATGATTCTCAATAAGGCTGGGATTAGAGTGGAATTTAAACCTACAAACTCACTTCGAAAAAAGATTTGTAGGTTAAAAGATCCTATTGACCCAATTAAGCAGAATAACTTAGTTTACCGGATCCCTTGCGACGATTGCGAGGTCAAATACATAGGTCAAAGTACTCGACCAGGGTCAATTAAACTATCCGTGCACAAAAACCTAGCTAGGTTAAAATTGGTAGATCCTAGTAAGGTAAAGAATTTAGAAAAAAGCTCAGCTATAGCTATGCATGCGACTACACACAACCACACAGTAGGATGGGACAGGGTGAAAATCTTTAAAACTAACATAACAAGGTGGAGGGAGAGATTGATAACTGAATCTTTGTTTATTGAATCAACACCTAACACATGCGACAGGAATGACTCAGCACCTGTTCCGGATATATGGAAAATCTTACTACCCATCTTCACAAAGAGATGAGAAAATTAGGACTATATAAAGGATATCTGAAAGTTATCTTGATATGACTACAGACAATAAATTATGTCCGAAACGCAATGTAGTAAACAATACTATTACACTGTGTGATATATTTGATAAATCAATAAAAATGTTTTTCAAGGTATCCAGAAGACTTCATCTTGTCAGAATCTTCACTTAACAGAACTACGTCGTCTGCGCACGGACCTACTAAAATCCCCTGTGATTAGATCAATTCCTGTCAAATGACGAGAGAAAGACCTTAATACGAATAACGATAAGACTGAATAGGAATGGACAAAGTGAACATCCTTGACGAACATCATTTGATGTACACAACTCACAACTTACTATAAACTCTGACACGCTCACTCATGAGTGCTCGAGTAAACAGCCTTCAATAGAGTGATGTACTTACTGGATACCTCTTTTGATCAAAGATACTACCATAAGACATTCCGATCAACGGAGTCGAACTCCGCCTTTAGGCCAATATTGGGCGTCGGTAAGTATGTCTGTGTTCCAGAACCTGGCGCGGTGTGCAGCTTGAGTGGTTTTCTCGCATTTGCTATTTCTGAGCTCCACTCAGACATCTGATGACTTAAGAACCCAGAATCTTAGATACTATGTTTGCTAGGCTGATTCCTCAGTAGTTATCAGAAGAGGACTTCTCGCCTTTCTTGAAGACTGGTACAATCAGTGATTGAGATGGGATCATATCTGGCTTCTTTACAGTAGTTAACACTCAAGTTAATCTAACCAATAATCCTCGACTACCGTCCTTAAGTACCTCCGGGTCTAGTCCATCTCATCCTGGTGTTTTTCCTTGTTTCAGATTATTTACGGTTTCTTCAACTTCTGAGATAGAATTCTGTCCCCGTGTTTCACACAGGATCCGACTGGGTAGTGGGCAATGAAATAGTGCCTGGAGGCTAGTTGAACTATTCCTTCTTTTGACTTAACACCAACAGAAATAAAGGTCTGTAGTCATGGGTCTACTACACAGAGGAATGTTACAACACACTTCATTTCTAACCAGTAACTCACTAGTATGAACTAAACCCCATCAACTAAGGTTTGAGTGACCAAATATTATCATAAGCACTCACAAAACACTTATGGATCATAGTCCAGTGTAATTACTCACCTGTAATCGTAGAACTACAAGCAGTCAATCACCCACCGAACTTAAGGAATTATTGCCTATATTTATGCACAAAAGAATACTTCGAACGGTTGCAGACTACTGCATGTGACAACTGTTCTGCTTCATACAAAAAGAAAGACAATCTTAATAGTAGCCTTTTAGCATAGTGGTACTCAGCTAGTGCTACAACGTATGAAAATTGTAATAAAAACCTGATATCTAATAAATTAGGTCACGATGTGAACCAACTATTCTCAATTAGACAGAGCAACACTTCAACTAACCCACTGTTTCAGTTAGTCACAATTAATTAAGTGTTCTAGTACGAAATATCACAAAAATTATAGTAAAGAATCACTTACTATGTGCATTTGGATGATCGGAGTATCGACTGATAGACTTTTCAAGGTGTTTATCTTCTTCTCTAGGATCTTTTTACAAACAGGACAAATACGCAACTCATAACCTAGACAAATAATAAAGTATATGGAAATTATTTCTAACTTGATTCCAAAAAAAAGCAAAAGCTATTCATGAAACTAGTAGATATCAGATATCTGGCTAGTGGAAGACGATTATTAAGTTGTAAGTATCATTAGTTTCAATAAAAACGAATAGAAGACACATTCAGTACTATGAAAACTTGAAATCCCACCTATCAGTTAGGTAATCGAATCCCTTTAACTAATCCAGAAGTTAAGCATAGGTTCATTATTAATCTATATCTCTATTGGAAATATATGAATGATATATTTATCTTATATAGTAAAGAACACATAAATGATGTGTACCCCAGGTTGAATAACGTTCGATCGTAATTCTTGACTTTTTACTGTTAAGGCTAACGTATAGTCACACTTTTCCTTTGTTAAGCTCATCTCCAGAAAGGACCCCGTAAACGAAATAACTCTTTAAACCAGAAATGTATGATTAATTTAATTAATGTAACATAACTCGGTACATGTATTTGTGCACTAAACCCACACTTATTGCATGCGAAATGTATAAAGAGATAATATTGTAGACAGAGAAATACGAGAAACATTGATTGATTTTGAGATAAATGGTATAGGTTCACCATCAAACAGGTTATCTGTTTATCACTTCATAATGAACAATCGAGATACTTGAATGTATGATCTTTATTTATAATCAACATTGTTAGAATCTGACATTTTTCGTTCATCTTCCATTCCACAATTCATATACTATTCAGATCAACCATCACCAGTAGCACCAATAGAGATTCATTTGTATAATTAATTAATTATAATTGGCAGACAGATGTGGTTTATGAAGTTCAATATGTAATTGAACGACTATGGATTACATGTAAATTGACAAAATGGTACTCAAGTCAAACGAGTACATTATTTCCAATCAAGTGTCGAATTGAATAGAAACCCATTCAGCAACCTTGTTCACATCCGTGCAGAAAATAATGAGTTACACCTATTGTATGAGAACTAATGATACTATCTGGTTGCCTAGATAACGGTAGTGTAGTGTAGAAAAATGTCAAACCAAAGAGAACTTTCAACTCAGAACTAAAATCAAGAATAATGTAATTCGGGAACCGGTATCGTCTTTTAAGTTCATAGATTCTATATTCGGCATTCCTCAAAAATCATGAAAAAAGGGTATTACATTGTTTATCAACTACTTTGAGTGCTTTTGAGATGTCGAAATTGTATTCTGTTTCCACCGGTAGCCTATTTTAAAACTGTTTAGTCCCTGTTACATAAATTTTCTAAAGTGTACCTACTACATATCTTGATACTTGTGGGTGTGAGATGTATCAAATAATACAAAGGTTTGTATTATTGCTTGTACTATACCGTCGTTGATTGGACCGAATCGATCAGTCTCTGTTGGCAAATGAGTTCTTACGTGAATGCCTCGATATTGCCTGTGTTTTTAATTATGTATAGTAAAGATGGATAGCGGCTAGCAGTGGAATCCAGGATGCGCATTTCGTCCTATTCGGGACTCGTCAGCTGGATGTACCTGCTTCCCAGTGAGCGATGTTGTTCCCACCGGGACTCGGACTCGGGAGCGATCGCTTCAAACGCGAAAGCGTTATCCACGAGTCCCGAATAGGACGAAATGCGCATCCTGGATTACACTGCTAGCCACTATCCATTTTCATTATACATAATTAAAAACACAGGCAATATCGAGGCATTCACGTAAGAGCCCATTTGCCAACAGAGACTGATCAATTCGGTTCAATCAACGACGGTATATACAAGCAATAACACTATAACTATACCCGTTGCACAAGAAGTGGCTAACGTGGCTCGGTGGTGTAGTGGATAACGCTCTCGCGTTTGAAGTGATCGCTCCCGAGTCCGAATCCCGGTGGGAACAACATCGCTCACTGCGAGGCAGGTACATCCAGCTGACGAGTCCCGAATAGGATGAAATGCGCATCCTGGATTCCACTGCTAGCCACTATCTGTCTTTACTATACTATAAAGGTTGTTCAAATATCTTTCAAAAATCAGTTATTTTGATGAACACTGCAACTGGCACAACAAAAATAATAATACACTCAGGAAACTAGTGGCATTTTCATTAAAACATGTAACTATTACGACTTGTTCTTCGTTTTAATTAAAGTGTAGACATAAAATAGCAACACTGATGGTACTACTTAATTTGCTTCTAACTGACAAATTATGATACTCTAGTGGCTAGTCACAATAGTAATCTAAATGTAAGGATTTACAAAAAGTGATGTAAGTATAAAATATGAAATAACTTTCAAGTTGACACTTTTCAGGTAAGTAACTCAGCAACCACTTGCATGCTTGTACAGTAAGTAACGAGCGACACCTATTGTGTGAGACCCAATGATACTACTTGGATGCCCAAACCTCAACAAGTGGAGCGGGGTTTGAACCTGTTATCCCCTAGTTGATAGTCATATCCCGCAACCACAGAGCCACAGCTTCACTCTAACAAGCTACAATTCAAGTGCATATGAAGAGAAGGGGAACACAAATAAATCAACGTTGCTTGATATCTAGTGAAGGCGTATCAAAAAAACTGGTGACTATGATTTTTTTATTTAAATTTCAAAGCATCTTTTTTGATAACCTGGTTGGTGTAACAGTCATATAAATAAACAACAAATAAATATTTCATTCTCATATTAGTAATTGAACATGAGAGAAGCCAGTTTACAGGCATCATCACATTGATATATGTTGGAAAATCTAAGATTTTACGGGAAGTCAATGGTATGGAAGGTCATTAAATTCGACTAAAAACATCAGAACATCCCTCAAGTTACGAAATGAACAAGAAAATACCACTTTTCAGCATATACATTGTTAAAGTTTAGATCGTTTCCGATCATATTTTCTTTTTTCACCAATAGTGGAACCAAGTTCGCGGAAAATTCCAAATTTCCGTTACAAGCAGTCAACATATTTGATTCATCTTCGCAATCCCATATTACTTTAGATAAACGTCTGTTTTACCATAAATTCTTATGCTTATAGCTTCGAAGACCAAAAGAACCCACACTGACAATTCGGGGAATCTGTAAGTTTTCACGTAATCATGTAATCCAAGTGAATATTTATTTTACGGTAAATCTCGAAATTAATTTGTTTCTTAAATCATATTTGGCAGTTAATTACAACAGTGGGGTACTGAACAACTCTTATCATGTCATAAAACTTATCAGAATGTAAACAAGATCCCATTCTGGATCAAACAGACACGGACAAAATCTACGTAGAACCTCGCACACGAGTTCATCGGTTCCAGTTGCTATACTTCATGGTGGTATATAAAGAACACGTGGACAGAAAAAGACTGACATCAATGTAGAAAAAGTTGTCAGAAAAAAACAATCTGAAGATAAACGTTAGTGCAAATATTCAAGCTTCAGAAGATGTCAAAGAGAGAATACATGTGCGCAACTGCATCATCCAAACTGCAGTCGGTGGGTATGTAGGCAGAGAATGCAAGTAGGCATCAGTTAGTCTGACAGTCCTTCCCAGTTCTTATATATCCATTCAGTCAAACACCATACGGATAGCTGTTGGTTTCAGCTATGTCAACAAGAGTTCTCAAACATTGATTCCTGTCATTTCGCCAACCCCAACTAACTTCATGGACTGGTGTCATGCACCGGTCTAATCTTTCTTAACCCTCTTCGCACATAATCCAACTTCCTCTAGCGTATAACGTCAATGTAGGAGGTGGCTCGGCATGCGCAGTACATGTCCAACGCGTTCAGAAGACCCTGCATTTTTTTAGCGTCTTCACTTCGCAGGACAATATCGTACGCATACTCCAAGTCAACCAGATGACCTCCATGTAGTAGATCAGTCCCTGTGAAGTCACACGTACATAGGATTATGTCCATTAGTACGTACGTGACGAAGTTAAATAGGGTGACAGTGGGAATCCCTGGCGGACATTATTGGTTGTCGTCAATACTGATGACATCTCTCAATAAGAGCTTACATGGCTGCGTGACTTCGAGTAGAGAGCTTGGATAAGCATTGCATGCTTACTCCGTATTCCCTTCACAGTCAGACACTGCTACAACTACTCACGGTCAGTAGAGTCAAATGCCACCTTCAGGTCAACAAATATGGCAAATGTCGGCCAGTGGCCGGTAAGTACGCTTGTGTTTTAGAATCTGTCGGACAGCGAAAATATGATCGATGCACTCACAGCCAGTTTTGAAACCTGTCCGGTTTTCTCGAGTTTGTTGTTCTTAAGTTCCACTAAGGCATTGGATGACTATGGACCCTAGGACCTTCGACACAATATTAGTCAACCTAATTCACCTATGGTTGCCACAAGAAGCTGGCGGACGCCATATGAGAATGGGTCTCTCCCTACACCTGAAGTTAGTGCTGGCCATGAACAAGTGAGTGTTGGAGCAAAACTGCAACAGACAATCACCGTTGTCGGTTTGTTGGCATTAGATTCCGTAACCAGCCCCAAAATGCTTCTTCGATTGGCTCAGCTCCCGTACCTAAGCGTTAGATTCACTTGCCATTGTGACTACATCTGAACGTTTTGCTTTCTGTAGCAAAGCTGACAGCTTCTCATAGAATTCATCCTGTGCATCATCCGAACTGCAGTCGGTGGGTGTGTAGGCGGAGAATACGAATAGGCATCGGTTGGTCTAATCATCCTTCCCAGTTCTTACAGATCCATTCATTCAAACAGCGTACAGGCAGCTGTCGACTGGTATCCAGTCGAGAAGCGCACTTTATGCCTTGCAGCTCAATGTTATGTTTGCACCAGCGAGAGCTAGCCATAGGGCCTCTGGATACTCGTAAAGTGAATTCTGAAGATTCTCTACTATGACTAGGTGAGGTCAATTCAATAAATACATTTGAGTCCTGTATGCGTGTCTCAGAGACACAGTATACATCCATGGCTAGAGATTCCAGAGTTCTGGCAAGCGATGCTTGCTGTCCGATTACGCAC